CTCCACGACACTCCACTACACCCCCCGACACACAGTTACACCACACTACACTACATTCCACTACACTACGCTACACTACACTAACTACAACTACTACAACAACTACAACTATACTACATTACACTACGCTACACTACACTACACTAATTAGACTACACTACACTACACTCCACTACACTGAATGACACTACACTACGCCTGCAACTACAACTACAACTGCAGCTACACTACTTTACACTAATTACATTACACTAAACTACACTGCATTAAACTAACTACAACTAAAACTACAACTGCAACTACGTACAACTAACATCAACTAACTACCCCACTCCACTACACTACACTACACCTCACTACACTACACTCCACTACAGTACACTACACTAAATTACACTACACCACACTACACCACACGCTACACTACACTAACTACAATTACAACTACCACTGCACCTACAACTACAATACATTACAGAAGACTACGCTACACTACAACTACAACTGCACTACACTAATTGCATTACACTACACTACACAACACACAACACACAACGCACTACACAACACACAACACACCTCCACTACACAACACTACATTCCACTCCACTACACTCCACTACACAACACTACATGCCACTACACTACACTACATTACACTACACTTCACTACACTACAACTACACTACGCTACATTCCACTACACTACACTACGCTACATTACACTACATTACACTCCACGACACTCCACTACGCTACACTACACTCCACTACACTCACTACATTCCACTACACTGCACTACATTCCACTACACTACGCTACACTACACTAACTACAACAACTACAACAACTACAACTATACTACATTACACTACGCTACACTACACTACACTAATTACACTACACTACACTCCACTACAATACACTACACTAAATTACACTACACCACGCTACACCACACGCTATACTACACTAACTACAATTACAACGACAACTGCATCTACAACTACAATGAACCACACGCTGACTACACCTACACTACAACTACAACTGCACTACACTAATTGCATTACACTACGCTACACACTACACACTACACAACACACAACGCACTACACAACACACAACGCACTACACAACACACAACGCACTACACAACACACAACACACAACACACAACACAGTACACACAACACACAACACACTACAAAAAACACTACACTACACACTACACACTACACACTACACTACACACTACACACTACTCACTGCTCACTACTCACTACTCACTACTCACTACACACTACACAGTGCACACTACACAGTACACACTAGACTACACACTACACACTACTCACTGCTCACTACTCACTACTCACTACTCACTGCTCACTACACACTACACACTGCACACTACACACTACACACTACACTACACCACACTACACACTACACTACACCACACTACACCACACTACACCACACTACACCACACTACACCACACTACACCCGACATAGGTCCCCTGATAGCCCAAGACTAGCGCGGGCCCGCGCGGGCCCGATGAGGGAACTTAAATCATCTTAACCTCTCCGTGTGGGCTGAACCCTTGCCTGTCACTACACTCCACTACATTCCACTACACTACACTTCACTACACTACAACTACACTACACTCCACTCCACTGCGCTCCCCGACACTCAGTTACACTACACTACACTACATTCCACTACACTACCCTACACTACACTAACTACAACTACTACAACTATACTACATTACACTACGCTACACTACACTAATTACACTACACTACACTACACTACACTACACTACACTACAACTACACTCCGCTACATTCCACTACGCTACACTAAGCTACGTTACACTACACTACACTCCACGACACTCCACTACACCCCACGACACGCAGTTACACCACACTACACTACATTCCACTACACTACGCTACACTACACTAACTACAACTACTACAACAACTACAACTATACTACATTACACTACGCTACACTACACTACACTAATTAGACTACACTACGCTACACTCCACTACACTGAATGACACTACACTACGCCTGCAACTACAACTACAACTGCAGCTACACTACTTTACACTAATTACATTACACTAAACTACACTGCATTAAACTAACTACAACTAAAACTACAACTACAACATACTACAACTACGTACAACTAACATCAACTAACTACCCCACTCCACTACCCTACACTACACCTCACTACACTACACTCCACTACAGTACACTACACTAAATTACACTACACCACACTACACCACACGCTACACTACACTAACTACAATTACAACTACCACTGCACCTACAACTACAATACATTACAGAAGACTACACTACACTACACTACAACTACAACTGCACTACACTAATTGCATTACACTACACTAATTGCATTACACTACACTACACAACACACAACACACAACACACAACGCACTACACAACACACAACACACAACACACAACACACAACACACAACGCACAACACACTGCACTACACTCTACACACTACACACTACTCACTGCTCACTACTCACTACCCACTACTCACTACGCACTACACACTAGACTACACCACACTACACCACACTACACTCCTCTGTCTGATAGCCCAAGACTAGCGCGGGCCCGCGGGCCTCTGCGGGCCCGCCGCGGGCTCACGCGGGCTCCTCCGCGGGCCCGCGGGCCCTCGGCGGGCCCGGGCACACGGTGGACCATAGCCGACCAGGGGGGAATCGAACCCCACCGTCACCCAATTGCCACCTGGTACATCAGCCTCAAAATCGACCACGGTGGCCACCCTAATTAGGTGGGGAAGTGCCTCAAAATCGTCCGTTTGGAGACGACCACCCCCCAGACCCCCTATTCTCACTTCGTTCGCAATGAGCAACTTCGCCATGCTTGACAGCTGGCTTTCGTAACAATGTATTAAATATATTTTTTTCATATATTGAAGCACTTTTTTGGGCGCCACTCCAACGGTTCAGCGCGGTTTGCAATTCCTTTGAATGGAATTTGCTGACTTAAACCATGAACAATTCTCTCGAATGCTCATGCATCAGCCATCTTGGATCTTGCTACCAAAAAGTGATCCACAACATGTGCGGCGAAGCTCAGTCCTTCACAAGTTCCGATGTGCGAGAGTTGCAAGCAAGAAGTCTTCCGACGTGCCTACTATTAGCCTACTATGTTCTTCATTCTTTGGCCCAGCAGTCACAGCTTCTGGAAAGAACTATGCCGCAGTATGGCAATGTGGCCCCTGAAGTCATGCCGCAACAGACTCACAGTCCAGCTCGTTTGAGGTGACGTCTTTGGAAAAAGAATTGAAACTCACCTTGAACAAACAACCCATCTATGTAAGATGTTCAACATCTTCCCACAATCCTTTTCTAGATAATATTTATGGGTTCATCGGGTTCATCCATGTCTCCATCGAGGCTGGCCACGGTTTCAACTGCAGTTTGAAAATCAAGTGCCAGAAAATGTTGAGCACGGCGGTGAAAAGCACAACACCAATATGATTAATATGATATTAAAAATCATCCCAAATCAGTTGAATATAACATTTCCATGTTCTGAGCATTCTGCCCCTTTTGTTCAGCCTGTTCCACACCACCGTGCCACCAGGCTTTAACTTTACCCTCAAGGCCCGGCCAAAACACGAGCTTTGAGCTGCTTCTTGGCACAGTCGTATGGCGCTTAGCCGCTTAATTAAATCACCCGCAGCAGAAAAAGGGTCGATGGCGCTCACCGGCAACTCGCCTCAGAAACAGGGGCAAATGATTTCCTATGATTTCCTAGAGCTTCTGGAGGTTTGCGTCAGTCTGCGTGAGAAGCTGTGAGGGATGTGACCTTCGATCGATGCAGCCAAGATCTGCTCGCACAAACCATGTCTGTGTTTTCGCAGGCTCAAGCAGTTTGATCTGCAAACGACACGCAATTCTTAGGGAACTTTCACCTAAAACGAAGATGGCCTTGTTTCCAAATGTTTCCAAGAGCCCTCAAAACTGCGACAGCGAAATCATCGCAAGTCGAATCTGAATGCCCCAGCCGTCAGGCGAAGCGACGGGTTCGGAGCTGCTCGAGTCTCAGTGCGACTGATGGATGTGAATGAAGCACAATCTTGTCATATACAATATATTGTGATACAATAATATCAATAATATATATATATATATTATGATCTGTATATATGATGACTCCACATGACATGCAAACAGGCTTACAATCTGCTCAGCAAACGTTACTGTGCCTGAAAACAGAGCTAAGATGTTCTTTCAGCATCTGTGATATCTTCATGACTCATGTCTAGGTACTCTCAGGGTCATGAGCGAAAGACATTCATACACAAGAGTCTTTCCTAAGTTGTCACTGTTCAAGAAATCTCTTTGAGATTCCTCTGCATGTCAACAATATGCCTGAATTCCAAACAAGGCTTGCGCCTGGTATCACCTGGTCAACTGCCTGCCAGCGGAGTTTGACATTTTTCCAAAGCGACTGTAACCGTGGGCCAAGCAGAAATCAATGTATCTGACCATCGATGCTGCGGAAGCTAGACCTTTTTCTTTCAAGATTTCACAGCGCAGCCTCTGTACACTGCCCAGAGAGTTTTGCTATGTTTTGTCAACATTAAATATTTTTGTCAGTGCCATGCATGTTGACATTTGGTCAACATGCCCATCGAGCTTGCTTTCGTGCATGGAGTGGCACTGGCGCTGACCGGGTCAGCCTCGGTACTTCGATCATCTTCGATCACATTCGGCGGCTGACGCCTTGTTGATCTTCACCGCAACGGGTGCGGCAACGGGTCAGGGGATTCAACATGACCGGAGCCCCAAGGGTTCGCCCAAGGGTTCATCCTGAAAATGGCCCTGAAATGCAAGTTGTTCACAGTTGTTCACCACATGGATGCACATTGTTTGCCATCAGTCCAGTGTCAGGTTGTCCAGGTAATATCCACAGCCATTGGCCAGTGGTCTGATGGCCATCCACTTGATACCATCGATGGAAGTGGCTTCCCTGGCTCCTGGCGAGGCTTTGAAAAGCCACATCAAGCATTTTTGTAAGCACACACAATTGAAAGCATTCTCCAGTTTTTTTCCAGTGGCTCAGTATAAACCTGCACAGATCACTTATGATCACCTATGATCACTTGAGTCAACACTGTCAACACTTAAACTTAAGACTCTTAGACCCATCCATCCGGAAAGCATGAGGACTACGGATCCTCTATCAGGTCAGACACTGTGGGAAGTTGAAGTCGCTGATATTGCTGGAAATCTGGACCTGGATTAGGACCCTGTGCATACTATGCACCCAATGGATCTGTGATCTGTGTTCGTGTTGTCCGGCAGTGATTCCAGGGCAACATATTATGACAAAGGCAAATGGACAGCACAATACCTAGCGAACATGATGGAACAATATGGAACATATGTTAATTGTCTGTCAATTCTTATCTTCACCGTCTTCACCACTGATTTTTGAGCAAAATCTTCGAAGACAACTGATGTCCCCTGAGCTCACAACTCAACCAAATGTAGTCAATACAACCATGAAAGCCTGCAGCACATCAATCTGTGCTCGGTTTGCGGGTCCTTTCTTTTCAACAAGCAGCTCAGCTTGTAATTTTGTAAATGAATTAGTGTAATTATATAGCAAGACTTTAGTAGCCTGCAAGTAGGGTCATTCAAATGGCCCTGTGCCAAGGCCAAGGAACCGTACTTCGAGTTGGTGACAGTTTCGTGAAGGTTTCTCTCTTTAGGCTCCACGTCCTGAAAGGTCGAACATTCGAACATTCCCTTACTGTGAAAAGTTGAATGCTTCTGATCTCTTCCACTCCCAATCAAATATTCGACATGAAAACGATATAAAACGATACAATCTCAATACCTTGTAGTCAATTCTCTGCCATCGCTCAGGGAGGCTTCCCTTCGCTGCCGTCAGGTAAACACAGTTGTTGTTGGATTGGATTGTTTCATCCACTTTGGATGCCATTTGCCGAAAGCCTCGTATGCAGATCGAAGATTCCAGCAGTGCTCAAGACCTGTACAAGTAGAGTGCTAAGCATGTCAGAAAAACGACCAGAATTCAAAACAGACAGTGTAACAATGTGCAACGTGTATGTTCTGCAGCAGTAACAACTTTTATAAATTTGGCACTTTGGTTTTCTTCCAGATTCATACATTGACGTTCACAACGCACCATGTAAAACTCTTCTATCAATCAGTTCTGTGGTGCATTCACCACTGACCGCAGCAATCACAGCCGAGCAACATCCCCCTCCATCACGTAAGAAGTGTGAAGATGCCATGACCAAATCCTGCAGTTCTCTGGTTTTCACATCTTGGTAATGAAAAGAAAGAGACTGGACAAGAGCATGGATGCAGCTTCAAGTGGCGAATCCGATAGGGCAACCTGTCTGTACATGAATGTATAATTATATATCATTATATATTTATATATATATATATACATATATGATCTACATATGGACATACATACTCTAGAAATCTCTAGAATACAATTCGCAAAATATGCATTCACACTGTACAGTATATGGGAAATAGTTGACGCGTACCACACAGTGTCACAGTATCAGATTTTGCAAAACAACTGTGGACATAGTGGACATCTGCTTTTTAACGTGAGTCTACATAGCAAAAAATGGATAAACATGGGGTGTGAAAGGAGACAAGATTTGCTCTGGCAGGTCCTCACGCAACTCCTGCTTGCAACCTCAGTCTCGAGCTTTTGGAGAGCAAGTGTGAAAATCCGTCTGCAAGATCAGTCCAAAATAGGTTTAATTTCCTGAACATTATTTGAGAACCAGTGGATGGAAATGCTCCTTGTAATCTCGATGTGATGTGATCCATGCTAGGCCTGGCACTACTGGCACTACTGAGAATTTGGGGATAATGAAGGCATATGAAGGCTCTGTGGTAATACGATCTTATATGATGTCGTATCAACTATGTACATTTTGGACTCGCTTAAAACCGTACATATGTATATCATCTAAATGTATACAGTGTATGATGACATACCACCAGCCTAAGAGAAATATCATGTGACCTCATCACGCAACCCCTTAGTCAGCGTCCTATTCAAGGAACGAAGGCCTTCGTGTTGCATCGTCTTCTCCACCAGCTTGACCAGGTTATCTACCTCATCGGATCTCATGGGTCAAATGCTCAACATTTTCCACGGTGTCATCATCCTGGCCTTTCGCTTCACAGAACTTATGAGACCCTACGGCCCTACGGGCTGTAGCGTCGTTTCACTACTTAGCAGCATGTTACACCCGAACTTTACCAATGCACCAATTTGGGATTGTCTTCTCTGAGAGTTCTCTCAATCCAATTCTGTGTTGCACCGGCCTGCAGGCGTGCTCGTGCCGAAGCACTTCCCTCATCACGGGAAAACCAGTAGATTTGTCCGCACATGGTACCTTGGCTGTGCTCCTAACTCAAAATGACATCGATTGGAACCCATTCAAATGAAGAGCCCTAGGCTACAGTCAGCATATGCTCCTGAACATTTCTTACGCTGCTAAATGCTGCTTAAGTCACATGGACGTGACTTGGCAGCTTGGCTCAGTGTTATATACGTTGTCTTGCAACCGTTGGCTGACCAAATTTAACAGCCCCGGTGCATGTAAAGAGGGGTATTCCGCTCTCAGGGGCCCCAAACGCCCTTGCACGATCTTGTTCCTGCACAGAGCGGCTTTGCAAACGCTGAGGGCACTTTCTGAGTGCAACGCTATCAAAGACACTCTGTAACAAACATTAGTAAACCATCTGGGATTTTGCAATGCCGTCTTCAACATCTTTCTACATGCTTGCTGGCTCAGATGTCTCCGTCAAACTGAGCCAGACTTGTCTCCTGCTCATTGTCTGCCAAAGGAATAACTCGGCCTCAAAGGCACAAAAAGCAGACTGGGAACTTCATGCCATGACACCCCTCAACATCCTTCTGCGGTCATATGTTGTCACACGCATATCATTGCAAGGAGGACCGCATGCATGCGGGAGATGAAAAACATCATTTTTGTAGGCAGGGTGCGAGGTGCAATGTCAACACGAATAACACGCCATGTAGCATCTAAAGGTAGATCAAAATGATCCCAATGGGACTACCAACCACGCAGCATCAACTATTTCCATGTGTTCAAGGAAGGCAAACATTTCCCAAACCCATCACCCTTAACCGCTCTCCTCCAATTGTAGAATCATATGTGCATCTGGTTTCAACAATTTCAAACGTCAAATTAAAAAGTTGGCATGCCGTCACTCCACGTCACTCCCATGCGTGAAATCTCTGCAGCATAGGAGTACCATGGAGTACCAAAAAAAGTGCGTGGCGGGCTTGTGGCGTGTTCAACTCAATGCCATGCTGACTGGCGCAATGCCATGTTCGACCTTCGACCGCTGCAGTTCACAATAGAATCAATAGAAACAAAACATATTATACATACTTTACGTATTTAATTGGGTGCAGATTTTTCTTGTTTTTTTTTTTGTTTTTCAGTCTGGGGCACTTTTCCTTGCTATTTGCTACATTTTGGAGCGAAAACCTGTACTTTGCTGAATTTTGGAGCTAAAATTTGCCATTTGCACTATTCGTCGATTTTTCCATGGTGTTCATTGATTTACCAAAAGTTATCATCGATTGGTCCATAGTTTTCATTGAGTTTGCCATGGGTTCAATTGATTTTTCAATGGTTTCAATCGATTTTTCCATGCATAACATGCACCTGGTGAACATGTAGAATACAGGTTGAAGCACAACAGTGTTGGGTCTCAATAGTGGCATTGTATGCTATCATAGTGTTGGTTGGTTTAGGGTTTATTGAGGGTTGGTTTGGGGTCATTTAGGATTAGTTTAGGGTTGGTTTAGGGTTTATTTAGGGTTTATTTAGGGTTTATTTAGGGTTGGTTTAAGGTTTATTTAGTGTTGGTTTAGGGTTTATCCATAGTTATTTAGGGATGGTTTAGGGTTTATTTAGGGTTGGTTTAGGGTTTATTTAGGGTTGGTTTAGGGTTTATTTAGGTTGGTTTAGTGTTTATTTAGGGTTATTTAGGGTTATTTAAGGTTAGTTTAGATTTATTTAGGGTTGGTTTGGGCTTTCTTTAGGGTTGGTTTAGGGTTTATTTAGGGTTGGTTTAGGGGTGGTTTAGCGTTTATTTAGGGTTGGTTTAGGGTTTATTTAGGGTTGGTTTAGGGTTTATTCAGGGTTGGTTTGGGGTTTATTTAGGGTTGGTTTAGGGTTTATTTAGGTTTGGTTTAGGGGTGGTTTAGGGTTTATTTAGGGTTGGTTTAGGGTTTATTTAGGGTTGGTTTAGGGTTTTTTAGTTTAGGGTTGGTTTACGGTTTATTTAGGGTTGGTTATGTCGGGTTGGTTTAGGGTTTCTAGATAGATAGAAAGATAGATAGATAGATAGGTAGATAGATAGATAGATAGGTAGGTAGGTAGATAGATAGATATATAGATAGATAGGTAAAGCATGGTAAAGCATGGTAAAGCCACAAAAGCCACACACCCACAAAAGCCACAGAAGCCACAAAGCCAGGCTGGAAAACCAAAACAAATCCAAAAAAAACAAAAAAAATACCCAACAAATAACCCTCCTATTTAATTTGAGTCCCGAGTCCCCCCAAATTCTCCCGCATCTCCCTGTCGAAGTGTTCGAGCCCCTGGCCGTTGCATTTCACACAGCGAGTGTAGAAGCGCTCCGGGGATAGATCCACGGCAAGATCCTCGGCATAGGGAGAGAGCCCATTCTGGGCCCCCGATTTGAGGGTCGGAAAGGCACAGTCGCTTCAGACTTTGACCATACGAACCCATTCGTCATTTGAAATGAAATTGAAATACTTTGGTACTCTTGCATGCAATGCTGAGAAATGCTGAGATGTCTTTTGCTCATTTTTGCTCCACCAATCTGCACCAAGCTTCAATGCACAGCTTGGCCAGTGACATCTCAAACTGTCTTGCATCGATGAAGTAGGCCAACGAAGCATCAGCACGATTGACAAGCCTTCCATAGGGCACAGTTATGAGTTATGACTCTTAGTGACTTTTATGAGCCATCAAAACCACAGATCTCCAGCTTGAGATCCTGATGCCACAGTTTTTGAAAGTTTGCCTTGTCATCCTTGTCCCAGTATGATTCACCGTACATCTACCGTACATCTGTATACCGTGTACCTGATATTTTTTACCATGATAGCTTTTGCATCGTTCTGCTCTGTGTTCGGGCTTCTTCCATTGGCATTCAATATATTCAATGGCCATCACCAAATGTCAACAGTTTGAAATGACTTTGGATATCTTTGGATCAAATCTTGGCACAGGCGCCTCTTTGATGCAGAAACCAAAACACGGGCTTCCCGTGCAGCTCTGCTGACCAGAGGAATTTTGGCCTCACAACTTGGAAGCGACCAGAAGTGGCATCGACGTACCAAAGGAATCAAGAAGACTGTCAAGACTTTATACCTATTAGATCATATTAGTATACTATAGAAGTATTAGTCACTATACATGGAGACTATATAGTCCGTAGTCTGCAGATAGTCTGCCATGCTGAAAACGTCATCGGAAAAAGATGAAGGATAATGAGGAATGAGAAGACATAAGAAGTTCAGCAAAACAAGAACAGCAAGCAAAAGAAGCGAGATCAATTGAGATCATTACTAAATGATGCCCTTTTTACAAAGATCTAGAAATCTAGACATCTAGAATCATCTAGACATGTCACGACATGTCACCATCTTGCACTCTCCCAGCAAGTTCCCACCCTTTTCTGCCCTTTTCCTGCTAAGGCACTGTCCGTAAGCCTTGCGACGCTTCCGGTCGTTGCTCTCGTTCCTCCCCACTTTCCACTGAAACATCCAGGCCTCCGAGGGAATCCGAGGTACTAACACAGCTAACATGTCGAGCGACACCTGGCAAAGAACAAGAATGGGAGGATCATGTGGAAAGAAAATACAAGTTTGATATATACACCGATACACATCATCTGGTTGAAAATCTAATTCTTGAAAAACAGAATAGTCAAATCTTGATACATCTTGATACAAATATTTCACCCCTCAATGAGTGCACGGCTTCATTCAGCTGCCTAGCAATCGCAAGGGCTTTGCTGCTTTGGAGATGTCGCGGTCAACTAAGAATCGCTCTACCTGACAGCTTTTTACACAGCGAGGATTTTTGGAATCGCCACAGAGGATTATAGGTCATAATTGGAATAATAGGCACTATAATAGGCACTATAATAGGCACTATAATAGGCACTATAATAGGCACTATAATAGGCACTATAATAGGCACTATAATAGGCACTATAATAGGCACTATAATAGGCACTATAATAGGCACTATAATTATAATAGGCACTATAATAGGCACTATAATTATAATATAATAGGCACTATAATAGGCACTATAATAGGCACTATAATAGGCACTATAATTATAATAGGCACTATAATAGGCACTATAATAGGCACTATAATAGGCACTATAATTATAATAGGCACTATAATAGGCACTATAATAGGCACTATAATAGGCACTATAATAGGCACTATAATAGGCACTATAATAGGCACTATAATAGGCACTATAATAGGCACTATAAGGCACTATAATAGGCTATAATAGGCACTATAATAGGCACTCTCTCTCTGTTTACTCTGTTTATCTGGCACTATACGCTGCGTTTGCTCGCTGAAAAATATCAATGGATTATCAATGGACTCAATGGACGTTTGGATCAACATTGGGGATCAGCACAAACGTGACAGGAGACGTTTCTGAACTTTCTTGGAACTTCCAAACGTCCCGTCTGCAAGAGCTTGTAGCCACTGCCCCAAGGCAACATGTTGAGATCTCCACCTTAGCCAAGACAAAGCTTCTTACAATCTTCTGGACTCTTCAGTATTGCTGCTCGAACATGTTATACATGTTATGGTTGTGCAAGCATCGATATCCTGCCGTTGTCCACATTGTCCATGGATTTACCGGTAGACAGGAGGTGCATGGCAGTGCCATGAAACTTATAACAACAACGCCATCTGCAAGACAACATAGATTGAAAGGAACGGTAGCAGGAAACACACATTAGTGTACATTAGTGACATGAGCAACAACGTCATTGACAATCGCACTTGGCTACCTGATCTGGCACACATATCACAAAACCTATAAGGAAATTCTAAGGAACATGAATCCCAGCCACAGCCAACGACTCTTGGTCTAAATCTGGCGATGCAGAAGAGAGACAGAGTGCCAAAGGCTTATGGCTTCCAAAGTGGCTGGCTGCAGACTCCAGCAACACCTGCAACCTGGGATTTTGAAAAACAGACCAAAAACAGACCAACAAGTTTGAGACCTTCGAACTCTTCATAAATCTTCTAAGGCAACCGAAGAAGCAAAGAAACCATCTTGATGTCCAATATTGCAAAATAATGGTAAAAATGTTTCTTACAGTTCCTTTTCATCTCTTTTCCAATGTCTTTCTCTCTAGAGATTTATCACTGCTAGGTCGCTAGGTCCAGATCCGAACCAGGATCCGGACAACTCCAAAAAACCAGGCCACTGCCACAGTCTGACATCCTCGTGTTCACTTCCCCAGTAAAGGTGTGTGGTCGCGAGCAGGAAACTTTTCCCGCTCCCTTCGTCTTCCTTGGCTTTGTGAAAAGAGTGCATAGACCAAGTGGAGTGCAGGGCAATTTTTAGCCCCGCTCTTTTCTCGTTGGAGTTACTGCTGGTACATTTTTTTGAGGCCCGATTCACCCCTCCGTTGCATCCAAGACTCCAATTCCACCACAAGTGCCTGACACACATGTGCAGCTGTGTGCTGGCTAGACGAAAAATTAGAGATAGCCACGTGCTGATCCAAAGACGAGCTGCAATATTTTTTCTTGCAAATCTTGCAAACCTCGGGCAATGAGCATTGATGACTTTAGGATAAAGGCGGCCATCTGCCGTCCATCTGAACCGCTGCAAACACATTGACATGAGTTTTTTCTATTCATGGTCAAGCCAGCAAAAGCGTCTCTGAGACAGACACACGCTTGGCGGCACTTTCTGCAAAGACAAGCAGTCATCAAAATTCAGAATCATCTTGCCCTTGCACCTTGAGGCAAAATAGATACGATGTCAATAAGGTGTTGGAATATGTTGGAACTGTATGCAATTGTCCGAAATCATGCTGATATTTGCGACCTTCCAAGAGAGTCTGGACATGACTCACTGAAATCTATGCAACTCCATGCAACTCCAGGACTTCAATAGATAGAGGCAAGCAGTCGAAAGGAAAAATAGTGGAAAAAAACATGGAAAAGGTGAAAAAATGTGAACAATCTCAAAGCTTTAGTAGCTGCAAGTTCTTAAAGACAAAGCCATGGCCCTGCCTTAATTTCGGAAGCCAACCAATCAAACAACCGTCGGCACGACCAGGGCGCTGTGCAAGGGCTATGTCATACCCAAGGCCTGTGGCTTCGGTTTGTCAGCTCAGAATGCCTTCGGATTGGGTTTTGGGTTTCGAATCGCACAGTACAGTGTAGTATAGTGCTGTGTGACAACAACACATATAACATCATAACATCATAATAACATCGTAATCACATCATATACAGTAACACAAATGTGTAGAATACACGAACATACTGACCGACTTCTTTGAGGCTCAGGTGCTGAAAAAAGAATCTTGATATTTGCTCATTTGCAGATCGAATCCACTGCATGCAACTGCTAGCTTCCTTCTAGAATTCTAGAAGCACATCAGTTCACGGCACCTTGCAAATGAGCCTGCCACTGGTCAGCATCTTCTACCTCCTGCATACTGCTTGACTGTACTAGTGAGATTTGGCGATGCGAAATGTGCAGTTCAGAAACATGTCCCACCAAACTGAGCATGTCCCACCGAACGATCCTGAAGACAAATGGCATCTGCCTTCAGATCTGAGAGCACTCGGTTCCTTAGCACAGTGCAACGTTGGAATTGCATAAAGTGTATTTGGTAGCCAACTGCTATTCCCTTCTCTCACAAGGTCATCTTGCAACTGTCTGACCTGGGCAATATGAATGCAACAATTCAATTTTCATCCAATTTGCATTGGCAATAGCTGGATGAAATCAAATCGAATTCAACAAGCAATATGACAAATGATGACAGTTTTTATCCAATTGCCTGTTTGCTGTCCAACTAGGTTGTCCGATGCTGTCCGGGACAGCTTGAAGCCAAGACGCAGGAGCGGCTGGCGATGTGAGGTCCGCAATTATTCCTCAGTTTAACACACTATACACACTATCATTGTCGTCTTGAACTTGTCCACATTGTCATGTCGCCGCTTCTGAGAGACACCACTGCAGTCAAAGTCTCTGGTTTCACATCCGGAAAAGACTTGTGCAAGGCATAGCTAGGGGCCAGGACCTTACTGCCAGCAGAAAGCATCATGGCACATCCCTTCTTTGATATCTTTGATGGCTTAAAGAAAGGCTCTCGTGCCCTTTTGGATGTGGTTGTTTGCGGTTCCATTGCTTGTGTAGGTATGTACGAGTATATTATGCATAGCAAGGCTTTTTTTCAAAAAGAATCACCTTGCATCGTGTACTTTTTATCAGTGCAACATAGTGCAACTTTCGCAAAGTTGTTTCCACAGGATTCCACAGTGCAAGGCACGTTCCAAGTGCACAATCGTAGCCGTCGTAGCCTTTCTTTCTGCCCCGGAGATGTCGGTTGAAACTCCAGCGGCACAGGCCTGAGATCACGGAAACCCGTCCTAGAGATTCTACGGCGTCGCCTACATCTGACTGTAGGATTTTGAGGTGTGCTATGGTGTGGTAATGGGCATAGTAGTAAATGGTAGACACACTCATGGAGTTGAACCTGTCCTGATCCGATAGAAGATGAATAATTGTAGTAATATATAGACACTTACTGTAGATATCTGTATATAGTCTAGTATAAATAGTATAATACCAATGCCTGTCATCGATTAAATTTGCTAGTACCAACCACCTTTCTCTCCAAGCGACGGCGTTGGCTCTGGCCCGCGGATCTTCCGGAGGAACAAGGGCGGATCATCTGTCCAGGTTTGCGACCACAAGTTTCGGCATGGAACTGACGAAAATTTCGGTCATTGATCTGGTTAAGCAACCCTGGTAGAATTCTAATACTATCCTTATACTATATAAAATTATATAAATATATAATAAATAGATATAAATAGATAAGAATGTAAATGTACGTATATATAAATACGTATATATAAAATTATATAAATAGAATGAAAGGACATGGCAGCGCTCAGAGCCCCCCACCTAAGGACTCGCCAAGGCCCAAGAAACGCAAGCTGCTGGGCTCCATATCCCCATGGCAGCACTCTGTTCGCTGGCCCAATGGCCGAAGGGGACCAAGCCATCTTTGAAAATCACCATGTTTAATGGGAAAATCCACTATAAATGGCAGTTTTCAATAGCTATTTTGTCACACTTTGAATTAGCGCAATATGGTAGGTTATCAAACAAGACTAGACTAGAACATGCAGTAGTGATATGATATATGCAATGATCATGAACAAAGAAATCAGGTGTCGTAGCTATGCCTGTCTTTGATTCCAAATCTTTGAATTCGAGAAATGGCAAACATTGATGAGCCAGGTACACATCTTGTGGCTGCTTCAATTCTTAGTTGTACATCAAGTTGCAAAATCACTTGGTTATATCTCGTGTCTCTGATCAGCACAATCCCTGTTGCGTTTTAAATCGTTTTGAAGCTATCTTCAACTGGTGTTGTCTTCCTTAGGGGGCAAAAGCTAGTTTTGTTTGAGACAAGCAAAGCAACTGACAGGATGGATCAATGCCTCTGTCCATCAGGATACCGCGCAGCACCTATCGAATGCAAGACAAGTAAGTTGGATGCTTATGATGCTTGCAATGATGCAATGATGCAAGCCACCAGCAACTCATCTGAATTCCCTTGATTCACCTGCTTCTCTTGTCATCAAATCTTATCAGGACCACCAGCAACTCATTGTCAATGCTGCTACAACATGTTTCAAGTATCATCAAACTGGGACCCTAAGGTGAAGGCAGCTCAGGTTTGACCACTGCATCCGAAAGGTGGCGAACGATTGGATGCACTCCATTGACTCCTCAATCAGATCGGCGTTGTGTCATGATCTGCGGCCCTCACATGTATTTGAAATTGGGCAATTTGGCAAAGGTCTTACAAGGTGCATTCCATATGGGTGTGTCTGAAAATAGTGTACCCCTAAACCCAATGGTTTTGCTGATCATTATCCCTATTAAATGGCTATTTCATGGGGAATATTAACCCAACATTTTCAGACAAACCCATATATTCCAACGTTCATGTTGCAGCGAACAGGAAACATCAATGGGCACATCAGCCATCTCATCCCAGCCCATCCTTGGCCACCAGTGTAAGTCGCGACAGTCGACTCAGTGGTTGTACCTCGTTGCTTCTCTTGAGGCACGACCATCGCATCCACGGCATCTTTCGTAAAGCCAGGCTCGATAGCATGGATAGCATGCTTGCCTCGAAGTCCATGCTTGGGAATGGCTGGGATTGGTTGGGATGCTGCAAATATCTGCAAGTCTGGCACTCAGCAAATCTCAGCAACTCTCATTGCAATCTGGCACAATTCAAACATGAGCCAGTCAGGATGGAACTAGGCTAAAACTACGGTTGTCATGGCATATCCAACAGATCCAATAGGATCAAAAGCCAATCATACAGCCGCCAGACATCGGGAGGTGACGTGCCTTTGAGTTGTGAGATCATGCTTTGACTGCCATCCTCACTGTGCTTGCTTCCGTTTCTGAGATGAAGATCAATGACCTGCCAGAGTTTAGGAACTTCTATGGATATCTCTGCCTTATCACCTCCAGCTGCTCACTGTGGAAATACAAACCATACCATTGCTTAAACAAAATTCAGATGTGTTAGTTATTGTTAATCAATAGTGGTTGAAATTGCTCTTTGTATGTCTTTGGCAGTTGTCACCGATTGTATGAATTTATCTATGAATTGTATGCACTCTTGCTTTCTCCGAGGTGTTTCCATGCCTGGGTTGCAAGTTCTTGGTGATCCTGTCGACTCTCGAGAGGATCGCCCCCTGTTCGCACAACTGACTGTGTTCTAGATCCCAAGAACTGATACAATATGATACACTATGAGATCTATGAGACAATATGAATCAATATGATATATTATGATAATTCATGATATATTGTAGAACATTGGTTTGCTGCAAAAAGGTCAAAAGACCTCTTAGAAACATTTAGAAACCAATCTCATTGAAAGTTTCGGCCAAGAAAATGCCATCTAGTTGACTTGACTCGCTAAGGCTTCTTACGAAGGAAGGATTTGAACTCTTCGAAGCTGATTCGGTTGTCCTCAAACGATGTCGGATCGGCCAAGGCTTTGCTTTGAGACATGAAATCAACTTGTTGCCTTCAAAATGCACCCCAGTTCAATCGAGTTCAATGCAACAATGTGGCATTTTGCTGCCATTCAAAAATATCGCCCCGACCGCAAAAAGGCTCTGGCCCCGCTTGCAATTTGCGAAGCAAAATCACATTTCATTGTCACATTTGTCATTGTCATTGTCCAATATCTAAGAGGACTTGTATGGACTTGTTGAATTCATTGGATTTTATTGGCACATATTGGCACCATTTGGCACTCTTCTCAATGGAAAGCAAAAAAGACCAGCCACACTCCCTGTGTGCGAGAGCTTTCTCGCAGGTCCTTTAAAAGGTCAGCCTCTTCGAGGAGCTTCTCCACTTGCTCACCTTCAAAGGTCTCCCCAAGGACCTGATGGGATCCCGGCATGGCTGCCATATGGATCCATATGGACCAGCCCAGAGTCATCCAGAGTCATCCAGAGTCCCAAAATGTCGATATGCCGAAAGAAACCAACGAAAACTGCCGACCCTCAGGATCCTCAGGTTGATTCAGGTTGTCTGGGACCAGATGGAAAAGTCTGCAATTGAATATGGCGAACGCTGTTTCACTTTCACAAGCTAGAAGTACGGGGCTTTCCCAGAGCAAGACAAACAAACCGTTGCTTTAAGGTTGTAGACTCAAACTTGTGATGTCTATTTATGTCTGTTTATGTCACAATGTGTGCGTCTGTTTTTGGTCTTTAACCTGTCCGACAACAGGCTGTGGTTTCCGCACGTCTCGGAGGTTTGGGGCGGTGATGTAGCCAGAGCCTCAGCATTACTAAGGTGGACTTCCATAATAGCATAGAATTGACTGGCATAGAGATACATGAAGCATGTTCTGAGAACACCACTGTCCACGTCAAACTTCTTGAAGGTTGCCTGTGAAGTCTGAGAGTTCGTGGAAGCTCCTATTGGTCAAAAACCAGGTCTCAGCTATTGGTCCAGGCTTAGCCATAATCCGAAGGCCTGAAGAAGATGATCATGGATCGAAATACGGGTATTGACCTTAAACTCCAAGGGAATGAGAAGCGCTCAGAGTTTGAGTGCGTCATAATCAGCTGGTAAAACTTCTCGGCTGGGAATATGTAAACCGGAGAGCCGGAGCATGCTATGATTGAACTCTTAAGAGCAGGACCATCGCGGCCAAAAAGTCAGAGTAGTGGATCTCCTGCTCCGTGTGACCACAGCAACAAGACATGAATGCTGCAAAATGCTCGGAACATTTCGGAACTGTCTTCATTCTTCAAAGTCAAGGCAGCCATTCGACACATCGTCAAACCCTCACTTTCCTCATCATGATTGGAGTCCAGTGCATCAAAGATCTGAAGGGTCTCCTGCGACAAAAAACAATCTTCGTTGCCAGACACCAGGTACTTCCAGTCGAGTAGAGTTGAAGATGCCAATATGGCAGTCCAGAGGGTTTGCAAAAACAAACCTGATATCACCTGATGATCATTTAAACCATTGTGATATGATATAATATCATGATATAAATATAATATATAATATATAATTACGTATTGTTGTACAAGATACTTGAGACATCTTGAGACGCCCTAGTCTCTCAAATTGAATCTTTGGTCAATGCCAGAAACTCGATGAGCCACTGAAAGCTGCGGTGCCTCGTTGGAAATGTCGAACTGTTGGGTCAACACCTGGCGGAGCATGCACGAACTGTTCCGTTTCCAGCACGTTGAGAAGGATGCAGCACGCAAACAAACGCAACAGCAGAACATATTAAGGAGCAGGCCTAGCGTGATACATGTGATACTGAAAACATCTGAAAACATTCATGTATGTTCTCATGTCTTTTTTCACGCAAGCCATCAAAGGGTGCATTAGGTACGGGTGGTCCAAGCTCCCACATTGGAAGACAGGATCGGGATCTTATTGTGGCTGACTGCTGACGTAAAACTGGAAAAATGATGAAAAATGAACGTCCAAAGCCTGTTTCAGGTCTCCGAGCTTGATGGTGCCTTGCCTCAAGCAAACACCAAAAGCCGCTACAAGTATATAGCGCTGTTGTGGTTCCGAACAATAATAACTACTATTGGCTACAGAAAGAACCATTGCTCTGAAAAACTACGAAAAACTGACACTTTTGAATCTCCTCAATTTGACCAAGGTGAGCAAACAGGATCAACGATCAACTCCATGATTTTTGGTGGTGCGTTGCGAAGTATGACAACACAAGAATACAACATAATACAGTAAAGATCAACAAAGTTTCACCTTTTTGTTTTTTTCGGCAAAGTCCCAAGCTGTGATCTGTCGAGAGCAATGAAATGCTTTCTCACCTGCGCCATCCGCACCGCAAGCATCGAGAAACCGACATATTCCAACTACAAAATTCCAACATGTTCCGACCGCATGTTTCCATCTTCAAAACAACGGTTTCAACTCCAGATATTTCGGAACAAATTCAGCCATCCAAAGCCAAGGAGGAGAAGCAACCCACCCGCCTGTGCTCGATCGGCATTGCTTAGAGACCATGCCATCATCTCCAAACAACACCTGCGGAACCTTAGATTCAGAGCAGTAAACATATTGGAAACTGAAATCTGGGTCAGGTACAATCAGCCCAAAATGTGTTGATACGACTTAAGGTCTAATACAACGTGAGGCGTGGTTCTCAGGGATGAAAACATATGAAAACTATATCTGACGCCAAGGCTGAGATAAGCTGAGTCAGGGGCTTTGAGACTTTTCCAAACTGGCGAAGCGCCTCCACCTGACGTGGCGGGGTGCATGGTCCTTTTCATCCACAGCGCAATCGAGACTGAAAACTCTGGGAACTCTGGAAATGTCAGATCTCCATCGATCTCCAATCTCAGACATGGGTAATTTTTAATGTCCCCATTGAACATCACCCAACCATTAGGTATATGGGGACTATAATGGCTACTATAAGGTGATGTCCAATATACCCCAAATGGGACAGTTACCAACCCCTGTCAGAAATGTCCCCAGAAGTGGAGAAAACCCAGAATCTAGAGCTGTTTGGCTAAGAAATGCCAGACGCACGACACCCTTGTCCACGTTCAGGTCATCATTTTCACGCCTCAGAATGCTCATGTTCATTGACACGGGTGCGCACTTGGAATTCCAGAAAGGTTCAGTCTCAATCAAGCAACAATGAAGAATAATGAAGAAAGGCTGGCCTGTGCAGAATCCATGGATGTTGAAGTGATTGTGCGGCTGTAAGCCTTTTGTAAGGATCAACCTCGATGATGCCATCAGATGACAGCATATGAATCGAAGCTCTGCGATGGAAAATTCACAAATGGATACAAATGGTCACAACGTGCGAGGAATACAGAGGAAAGATGAGGAGAGCCCAGTCAGCATATATCAATTTGCAGCTTGAGATGGATGTTGATCTTTGGCAGAGAGCTGTGCACACTGCTGTCTTCCTGTCAGTAGGTACCATGCATAGCAACCAGTAGAGATATGTAGAGATATATGCAAATGTAATTGTGTGATGTCCAGCTTCAACATGCGCAAATTTCCCAGCTCAATTCTGCACCTCAAGCATGGCTTTCACGAACCTCAGATCTGCAGCCCATGTCCGAGAGTCGAAAATAGTGTGCTAAGTTAGCTGCTAAGCCGTTCCTGCGATTTCTGGAATGGATAGTGACTAGCATGAACGCATTTTGCAGCAAGAGCAAGTTCTTTACACTGCCATAGCCGGCCATAGCCGGCCATAGCATTCCTCTCAGCATCCCTTCACTCCTTGTGTCACGGCGCATGTCTGTAATTTAGACTGAGGGAGCTGCTGTCGACCCTCTAGAGAAACGCTGCTCCACCTTTCTGGTTTCAAAACATAATGCCTGGCGCAGGTTTTTTTCCAAGCACTGGGATTGTGATGGTGCTGTTGGCTGCACCGAAAAATAACTGAAAAAACAACTATCCCAACTGTCACTAACTAAGTCTCAAAAAACTAAGATAATTGATGTTGAATGATTTTGACCCACTCTGCGTTATACAATGTTAACAATGTTATACAATGTTATACAGCGCATCAACACGTCCAGATTTTCCAAGACCTCTCGAAGGAAAACCAAAAAAAACTCTTCTTACAACTGTACTGTGAGGCGCTCCCCCCTTCAGTGCGTGCGCTTCAGCAACTTGAGCAAAGCAGACCCAGTGGAAATGTTCCTGGTCTGCACCTTGGGAAAATATGGAAAACCAATGGAAATTCTTAAACAGAATCGTAAAACGTTGCAAGATGTGGCAAACCATGGGTCATCACGACGTGTCACCATGGCACTGCTTCTGTGATATCGGGATCTGAGATTTTCACGGCCTCAGAGCCAGAGAAGGGCATGTAGCCAGAGAGCAGCACGAAGGCAATCACCTGGGATTCGGAGAGATGAAAAGAGATATGACCAGCATGGGCGGCCCTGCAAAGCACAGTATATATGCCATAATATGTATATATATATATACACACGTGTATCTCCCAAAAATCGATGGAGATTTGCAAGTCTTGGAAGCAACATCTGCTGCGAAATCATCTCAATGCATCTCAATGCGCTCTGAGTTGAGTCGCTCCAAGACTCCAAATGTCGCATTGACTTGTGTATGCCTTCTTCAAGACCTGCCAAGGAATGCAAGGCTTATCGTTCAGCATGAAAAAGTGTAGTATATAATAGTATATAATTTAGTTAGACCATGTCACATCATGTCATTTCATGTCATTTCATCTATAGTTTTGAGATCTTCTAACCGTGTTTTCTGACGTCGTGTTCTGCGGCAGCCCCAAAAATGTCCAATGTACCTCTGGAGCCACGTAGGCTAAAGTGCCACAACTCACGTGCATCTTGATGTTGGGATCCCACCTCATCTCCACGACATGTCCCGTGGAATCAACAAATCAAAAGAACGTCTTGTAACATCGATGGTAAGTAGTTTTATACCATGGAAAAACCATCCTGTTTCGGTTTACCATTCCTGTTTCACGCAAAGGCGCGCCACCTGTCACAGAATGAACATGTCAACAACCTTTCAGAAATAGTCAGAAATTGCTATGTTTTCCGAAGAGGTATATTATATTATGTTCATTTATGTTCCAGATTGATACATCTCTGATACTGCATCAAGGAAACATTTTGCTGAAGCCAAAGTCGATCAGCTTCAGATGGTTGCTTTCTTTTGATTCGTACCTGTCTGCAGGAACCCAGCACCGCACTGCGAGAGAACCGGAGCAGTTTAGACTTTGTTGGAGCTGCCAAAAAGGAAGGCCCTGATGCAGGGGGCACTCAAATCATAAATCAAAAGAAGAGTCTCAGTATGCTCAGCTTTTGGAGTCAGGCCCTACGTCGTCTGTATGGCCGCTATGATCTTGTACAAATCAAAGAATGTGGGCGCTGCTCGGCACTGCTAGGCTGTCTGTCAAAGTCAAAGTCAAAGCCTGTGTGGAGTCCAAGCATTAGCAACCAATAAACTCCATTTATGGAATGTATAATACTGTTATAAAACCATTTAGCAACCATAACTGATGATCAAGCAGCAATACTGTGCTTTTCAGAAGGGGCCAATTTCCAGAAGGGCGCAGGAAATTTTCCAGCTTCAGATCTCGGTGCACAATGCCTCAGGGAAAATCCAGCACCGCGACTTCCCAATTTGGATCCGATTTGAAAAACAAAAAGAGATCTACGGTGCTGCAAGATCTGTAAAGTGATGAATTTCAACCTGCACTTTGAAGGCAATTTTTGCTGCAAGGATCAACATTTTGCTTGTTTTTGCTTAAGTTTTTGTTTTCTTCAGAACCAAATCGTAGTGAACAAGGTGAAACACAACCAATGGGAAAAAAAACATAATGCCTAAAGCAACCCGCTGAGCTCACAAACCATGGCTGTGAATGTAATTCAGTGCCAGCAGCATTTGCTCAATAGCGTCCGCGGCCTGAGCTGAAGCAATTGTAACGTAAAGGTCCATCACTCATCTAAACGACAACAGATATTTGAAGACAGTATAGGACCAGCTGGCAGTCCCCCCCTGCAATGTCTCCGGGGTCAAAGCATCCATCTCAGTGAAGCGTTTGACGTGAGTCACACGATCAAACAGCTCACCACCCTGCCATGCTCAAGATTGCAGCTTCAGCATTACATGATACATGACTAAAATGGATGTAGACTATTCATGACTATTCTTCCTTTGCCTGCTGCGGATTCACCTGACCTGACGTTTATTTAGATTTATTTAGTGTATTATATTTATTATAATCTATTTATGGTTTGTTTGTTTTGCTTTTTTCTTTTCCCAACCTCCATACACTCCATGACCAGGTATAACTGATCATCCGCTTCATAGACATCGAAGAGTCGTGTCACATGCGGGTGGTCCTTAGCAATCAAATCAGTGCCACTCAGTGCCACGCCACTGCGGACTCCTGTCATGGAAGGCCTCTGTTCAGAGTCTCAAACCATGCAAAGGTAGATGCCGACTTCGGACTCAAGCTGCGCCTGACCATCGCGCAGCTTGACGCGGCATGGCATATCATGGCATGGCATGTGACCAATAAAATGTGTGGCCTTCCAATGAAGTCGGCCCTTTACACTTTGGCCAGTTCCCACCAAATTTTCTTGGGCAATGACAATCACCTACTGATGCCAACCACTCCGCACCAGTTTCGCTGAACTTGATCATCCTTTCGTTGCTGGTCTTCAACTGTTGACAAGTTGTTCTTCTACTTAGAATCCCATCCAACATGCCCAAGCAAACTGAAAACTGAAAATGACAAACATGTACAAAAAGAGCAAACTGAAAGGCACGAAGCACTGCCAGGCAACAGAAATGATCCGAACCCCATGCGGTTGGCGCCTTCTTCTCTCGCTTGAGATTGCCTATCTTAAATGCCTTCATGACAAGGAACATCACGGAAAATCTCTGAAGGCATTGAAGGCATACATGTTTTTTTGCTCTGATTTCTGGAAAGGGGAAACTCACCACCTTGATCACTTGTATTGACTTCTAGATAGAGAGGAGACCGTTGATATTCATGGCACATGCTACTCATCTCACCGGGCCTTGACAGCAAATCTATAGTTTTCATCTGCAACGGAAGTGGCAAGCTGCACAACCTTTGCGGTCCAACGATTTTCCAGATGCAATGAGATGCAATGAGATGCAATGAGATGCAATGAGATACTGATGATGGTGATGATGGTTATGATTATGATGATGATGTTGGTGATGATGATAATGATGGTGATAATGATGGTGATGGTGATGATGGTGATGCAATGAGAAACTGCAAATGCAACGAGATCTCTTGAAATTCTTAGGCTTTCGTAGCTCCAAGCACCAGCTGTACTCACCAAAGTCCCCAACTCCATTGTACCCACTTCCAAGGACAACATCATGGGTCTGCACAGTTCACGGAATGCGCAAAAGACGGCATTCCAACATTCAAGCCTTCAAGCACATAATTACTTACATGATATAATCATAGACCAAAGAATGCTGAATTATATATGATGTTATTATGTATAATATGCACCATCTTGGCATTCTTGTCACTCTTGTCCTTCTGCTTTGCAAATACTCCACCCACAGGTTCCACCTTGTAGTCATCTTCAATTCGCTTGGGCAGTCTATGATACCTGCCAAATTGATGACATAGACTGTGCAAGCGAAAAATGACGATATCTTGTAGCGACACCCTTTTTGTTCTGCAATGTTGCGCATGCGGCGATTCTCTCACGAGCACCGATCACAGCTGATTTTCCGCTGCTTCTTTCCTGAACAGAAACAGCAGGCCTGCCCGAGACGACAATGGGACCCATGTGCTCCTGCAAGAGCATGCACTTTAGATCACTTTAGTCTATAGTCCAGTACTGTTTTTAGAGCAAGTCTTACAAGTGTAACGAGTCTGCCTCTCTCAACCATGGGATCTTTACAGATTGCAACTGCTTTACATCATTTTACACCATTCAGTGACTCGATGAGCACCAGACGGACATCCCTTTTATGTGTTCTCCGATGTCATTGCCTCGGTGAGACGCTCTGCCCTCCAAACAATAGCCGACAGATTCCCATAGCCGTATCTCCAACAGGATGAAAGAGCTGAAATCGCGAAATAGAATTAGGGCTCCCTGTGGAAACTGTTCTCTTGTCCGATAAGTAAATAATACTAAATAAACGGAAATCAAGTAGGCTCGCCAAAACCGGGGCTGTGACTCTGTTCGGGAGTTCTTGTTGTTTTGTTTCTATTTTCTCTGTAATTTTGTGGTGGGTTGCTCTTCTGTCCACCAAACTGTACATTCTTTGTGATTTAAGAACTCTTTAGATCCCCCTGGTTGGCGTAGATGAACCATGATGAAACCTCTCTGCAATCCATACCCATAGGATCCATGTATGGTATATATGCTAACATTTGGGGTATATTGATGGTAAATGTTGCCATATATAGCATACATGGATCCGTCATGGGATATGGATCCCTCTCCTGTGCAGTGTCACAGGGTTTCTGGATCCCTCTCCTGTGCAGTGTCACAGGGTTTCCAAGGCCGACACCTCTTTTGCTTCCTTTGTTTCCCATGGTGAGAACCCTTGAGAACCAAGTCTCCGGAGTCTCACAGCCAAAAACACGACTGCGCCGCTTTGCGGCCCTACGATGTGCCTATGGTGAATCCGGGATCTGACCAGAAATCAGCGGCCCTAAGACGCGTAAGATTGACTTGATTTGACTTGGATGCTACATGGAAGGCTGACTGAATGAACTGTCCATGATGATCACTGGTTTGTGATGGTCAAACATGGTCAAACCACCTGGACCACTGAAACGAAAGCCCATCTGCAGGAAAATTGTGGCCCCGAAATCTCCCAGGATTCACTCCTCAAAAGAAAAGGATTTCCTGTAAGCCAATTCTTCAATATGAATTCACAACTCATGACCACTGTTCTCCACAATTCAAGAGAACATGCAAAGCCGGGGGCGTCTTGGTAGCAAGATGTTCCAGAAACATTCTTGGTTTGAGACAAAATCTGAATCAGCAGCTGCAGCCCTTTTTTCCGCACCTCACCTGCATGGTCTACAGTGTTTGTCACTTAAAAAAGACTCTAGACATTTGTTTCATCAGAATATGTTATGTAAGTATATTATAGTATATTCTATATTTTGAATTGTTCTTGATCTGCGCGACATTTTTTTGAGCAGACCGGGCCCGGCCATCTTTGCAATCTTTGCGTCAGGCTGTCGTGTTTTCCATGGTGTAGACTGCACAAACCCAAGTGATGGGCTTAGATTTCGTCGAAATTGTTTGCAGCGCTTTGTTCTTGTTTCTTCTTTACACATGTTTGGACTTGCTGGTGTACTGCTATGCAGAGTTTTGCGTACACAGATGTACACAGTGCATATCATGTGAACACGCTTGCTTAATGCATGAAACTGATTGCTAGTCTACCTGAAACAAAAACACTTAGCAAAAGCCTTGGGCGGGCTACGACTTGACCTCACTCTGAGAGTCTTCAACTGCACAGAGAGGATGCCTTGGTGCAAAGAGACAGGATCACCTGTTGTCACTATTTTGTCACTTGACTTTCTCAAATCCCTGATTTCTTTCAGTTTGTGTCATTCTTTCCTTCAGTCACTTCAGTCCTTTAAGATCTGCCCTTCAAATCAACTATAAACAAGTGGCCATCAAAGTGACGAGATGGCTATCTGTGAGATTCACAAAGTGCGCTTCCAGAGTTGAAAAAAATAAAGGTTCTAGAAAGCAAGAGCCCCAGGCTTGGTTGGCACCACCCAGGTTTCATTAGTTGAGATGAACTTGCAAGTTCAAAACCTGTATGAATGCAATCAAGCGGGCAAAGAGTCTATCACAATTCCGCTAGGCACTGCCATGCTGCAGCGGCTAGGTACGGTACCACATACCGAGCCAGTGCATGTTGAGAATGGATCCAGCAAGATACCATATCAGGTAGGAACGACGGAAAAATATCCTACACGGAATCAGCATTCTAGGTACTGGTTACACAGCTCCCTCAACCTGTACTGTGCATGTCAACATATGTCAACCTGGACGCAGCTGTCACAGGGGAGTTCAGTGACTCAACCTGCAAATGATCCAGCCAGCATCACTGTACTAGATTGTCCCCACATATCACGGAATATCTTCCAGGGACAAGACTCCACAGAAGTCTACTTGAGCATACTTGAGCGATCTGTGGGATGAAAATCTTGTTGTGTCCACATGCACAAATGCAAGCATACAATGATTGCATGCAAAATTTGTTGTCGGGGATGCTTGCAATGTCAAAGTCCAAAAAAAGTCGCTGTTGAAAATCGACAGTTTCACTTCGACAGTTTCCAATAGATCCAATATAGCTGGTGAAGCTGATGTCCGGCCGAGTCACTGGTGATTGGCGTCTCACGGTGGTCTCATTGTGGTCTCATTTCTTCATTGTGATTGGCCACCTTGGTGCTGGAGCTTTTAAGTCTGGGAATCTTGGCAGAAGGGGCGCGATAGTATGCAGATTGGGTAGAATTGCGTAGATATTATCTCGACGTACCCTTGAGATCCCTTGAGGTAGTATGGTTTTCAACTTATTTCAAGACTTGGCAATCTCGCAGTCGCAAAACAATAGTCACTAGTCTGCATCCTTCAACTTCGCGATTTGTCGGATTTCCGTAGACTCAGAAGCTGATGCCATAGGATGCCATATGATGCCATATGATGCCATAATGTACAAGCGGGGCATAGCTGAGGAGGTGTCAAGGGGAAGTGGTCCGGAGGTACAGCTACTCGGAGCCGTTCAGACTGGAGCCTGGCAAATTGCATCTTTGATCTTTGGAAGTGATTCCCACCCCGAACGGAAGGCAAAACGCCATCAGTATGGCCAAAAACAACTTGATTCAAGTCTTCTGTGGTAGTAATCAACGCATGAAAACAAAATTAAAATCAACTTGTTAAAGTCTTTGCTTTCACTATCTTTCACTGGCTTCAACAGGCCTTGCAGATTGGGCTTTCCGAAACTCTTCAAAGATAAAGCTCCGTCGCCTCGGCTTCACTAGTGTGAAATCCAGAGAACCACAACCGACATGTTATGTTGAGTTTATATTGTACATTATGCAGCGTATGCATATAAATCATATAAATCACAAATATATATATATATATATAATTATATATATAATGTGTTCAAGAGTGAAACTCAAAGATGGAGTTGGAACAAAGATGTGATCTCCAAAGAGATGCCAGTGGAGTTGGAACATGTTGGAACTTGGGCCAGGAACGGATCCGGCAGGATTCTCTACTTGAAATTACTTGAACCCAAGCGCATTTACTAAATGGCAACTTCTCAACTTTGCCAAACACATCGAAAGACATGAACTGGATATACTGAATGGAAAACAATGCAAAACAAGCTGCAAATGGAGCGTGGCTGCAGACGATTGGATTTGCTCCGCGGGAGCTGCCAGAGATATAAAAAGCGAATGGAGGTTGCAGCATGGACATCCACAGACTCATCCGACTGATGTCCTCAAAATTCCTCAAACATCAAGAAACCCTCAGATCATCGTGATAAAACACCCTTTCACAAAGATCATCCATGTTTTCATTCAAGATCACTAAAGTCACTAAAGATCATCGAAGTGTAGTAAAGCCTATGGTCTTCTCACTGGGCCAATACGTAGGAAACTGCGCACCTGTGAGGATGTTGGTCAGCCAATTTCCGCCTTATCCAATTCATCAAACGTATTGAGTCATTTGACTTTCAGGCTATAGCGGCTACAGTACTTCTAGATGCTATCCTTGGACACAGGCTTTCTGCTCCGAGGCTTTTGTTGCAGGCATCATCGAACCTAGACGGCCGAAAAGAATGGAGAACAATGATGAACAATGCAGAAACCGCGGAGTGTTCATGAGATACGACTGACATCAACTGACCGTTTCATTTGGCTGTGGTCATCAACCTCATTTTGCAACCCGCGCGAAAACTCGATACGATTGAGAAGTGCACGGCTCGTTCTGCTTGTTGGCCTTTTGAAAAACGAGGGTCTGAGTCTGAGTCATGGAATGAACCGCAACATGAAGTCTACAGCGAATGACAACAGCAGAGTGATACCCCATTTGTTTCTGATTGTGCTCCAAGGGTCAGCATGTAGAAAGCTGTGATCATTGATAACCTGTTGAGCAAATGAGGTCCCATGATATTGAGTCTCAAGCAGCTTGCCGTTCTTGATCTTGAATCCGGGATTCCAGAGCCTTGCCCCAGCTCACTCTTGACATCAAACTCAACAAATTGAAAGATTCCCAAACGAAGTCTCCCATCAAAAGCTCAGTGATTCTCCTGTGCTTCACATACTTGGCTCGCGCATTTGGATCATCTGTGCCATCTTTGGATCAGCGAAAATTCGCTGGACAAAGGAGGGCGGCCTCCACGCGCTGTAGGGCGCTTCGTAGCATCTCCTGTAGCTCCTGCAGGCGACATCCCCGGACGACAAGCGCAGTGTCCTCTGCCGAATGTGCCCTCTGCTGCCGAACATATTAACATCATTTAACATCTACGATCATCTGCACATGTAGTGTACTAGTGATTACATGTGATTACATGTGATTACATGTGATTACATGTGATTACATGTGATTACATGTGATTCCCTGTGATTACATGTGATTACATGTGATTACATGTGATTACATGTGATTACATGTGATACATTCATGTGATTACATGTGAGTACTGCACAAAGTTCCCAACCAAACAAGGTAGCTTCGGGATGGTCAGCATGGTTTCGGGATGGTGATTGGGGTGATTGTTTTCTTTCGAATTGTCCTCCACTGCAGCGTGGGGCGTGGAGGAGCGCTCCTCAAACTTCAGAACTTTCCAAAGTGTTGCAGTGTCAAGAAATATCAAGAAACATCAAGAAACATCAAAAACATCATTGCATAATTGCAATTGATATTTCTTGAAATCACTAAATGTCTGTGACTTGATTTAAAACATTGGCAAACATGGTCAAAGTGTCCTCCACAGTTTCCTCCCTGAATTCTGCGGTGGCTTGGATGCGCTGTCTCTCCTGGTGCGCTGTCTTTGTCAGTTCCATCGCGCGGCGACGCAGTACAAGGAATTGTGAGTTACCCTCTGGTAAACTGTCACATAACTATGGAAAATCACCATGTTTAATGGGAAAACTCACTATAAATGGCCATGTTCAATAGCTATGTTAGTTTACCAGAGGGTACACTCCAAAGAAGAAAGAGAAGAAACATCACATTACAAGTGAGTTGTGTCAGCTGGAACAGGCAGGTCCTCAGCTTCCGCTTTGAGTGATGACTCAACAGGAATCTGCGAGGCTGGCTCTTTGACTCTTAGGGATTCTGACGGAGCAGCTTCTGGCGAGGCAAGCATTCCCCACAAACGGCCATGACTTCGTTGAGCCGAGCCAGTCTGCATCATTTCAGGCCGCGATGACAACACCACCGGAGCTTTCAATGATGACGCGCCATCCAAAAACATCCTGCGAGCAGACTCTGACGATTCCGATCTCGCAGTTGCTGAGCTTGCAGCACGTGCAGATTCTGAACTTGAGGAAGTCGCTGAACTCCATGTTGCAGATGTGTCTGCTTTCGGCTCGGTCATGACCAGCCGTGCCAAGGTACTCCTCTGGTGGTCTGGAAGAAATGGTACCAACTCACTGATCACTGTCACCAACTCAACGGCATCGCCAGCTTTTTGGTGAGCTCGGACTACGCGTTCTGCCCATTGGAAGAATTGAGGATCTGCCGGAGGGGAGGGCTTGTAACGCTTCAAAAGGCTCAACAAACTTCGAATCGACTTCAACCGTGCCATATCTGCCAGGTTCTCATCGTAGGACTTGGCTCTTCTTCGATGCTGAGCTCGCCAAAGCCTCGACTATCCAGCTACCAGATGCTACAAGTGTGTCACAATGAATCCCACATAATTCCACTTTCCATTCAAGCTACTTGTGAATTGTCTGCATCAATCAAGCCAGGTGACACATGATACAAGGCTTCTCTAGCCCATAGAGGCACTCTAGTAGATCCAGAATCCTGTTCAGCCACAAATTCTCAGACCAGGAAAACCATGGAAAACCGTTCAATGGCACATGTTTGCATCATGTTTGTTTATCATACCCCGGGTCCAGGGGTGATGTCCGATCCTTGCTAGCCACGTGAGCTTCGCAAAAGGCCATCAAGGTCTCAATGATCTCCGTCCAATCATCGATGCCAAGGCTCCTGCAACGTGCCCTTAAAAACACCCCCTGGCTCCAAGGTATTTCAGTAAGAGACTTCACAGCTATATGAACATGTATATATGAATGTATGTGATTGTAAAATTTCTATATAATCATGTGTCAGGACATGTACTGGCCCATACATGTATATATATACTTACACTGTCTGACAGTACATGAGTGTGTACATATACCCTGGCTTTACAGCTGACATACAATTTATTTATAGATGCTTTAACTTATATTGCTAAATGTGGAACACACATAGACATTGTCTATTTACATAACATACGTATATTTATATATATTCATGTATACAAGTTTATATATTGTATATTATATCTACACATGCACTTGTATAGACACCTACGCGCTATATGATATGTATTATCGTTTGTATATCGTGTGTATATAATTATTTATATAATTATATATATATACATAGAGAGAGAGAGAGATAGAGTGCTGCAAGTATTGTCATTGCCAAAAAGCCATGATTGGTATGAATATGCATGAACTCCCATGGCGTCACACGGGGGCTCCTTCGAGACGGGTCGTGATTCCATTGATAGCGCTGCAGGCCCCAACTAATTTGGACCTTTGAATCGGAGAGGAGGTGTCCAAGCTCTTTCATGTCACTTAGAGAACTGTTAAAAAACAACGCTATTTGACAACGATCTGAAAAGAAGAGACATCGTGAACATGGCGGAGCTCACTTGCAGAGTTGCTGAACTGACCTCAATTCTCCTATCAAGGTCTTCTGCCAAGCACCCGTGCCAAGCCCTTTGTGATGTTCTGCAACACTGGTGGAGTGAGAGGTGGAGCCTTAGTAAACTGGGTGAGACTGACAAGACAGGCTTCCTCAATCTCTTCAGAGATCTTTGGGAGAAATCACAGATCGAAGTTGGGGCAGCACTTGACTGTCGTTCCATTCAGGAACGTCAATTCCAGGAACAACAAGAAATCAAACTTCAATAATATATACATATGTATATATATATACATAATGTCTATGATAATATGTAGATTAATATTCAATAATCCGCTGAATGCAACAAATCAATCGTCAACTTCAGTTGAAACCTCAGAGCGGGGCATTTTGCTCCGCCTGCCGTGACTCAGAAATTGCGCGCCGCACCGTTCAAATCCAACATCGACACATTTCGACATTGTATGACATTGCCCATAGGATCCATGTATGGTATATATGCTAACATTTGGGGTATATTGATGGTAAATGTTACCATATATAACATACATGGATCCTATGGGTTGTGATACATTGTGTCTGTTTCGATCTTCCAGTCACGGTAACGTCGCTGCATGTCGCTGGGAAAACCTCCCGGGCCAGTAGTGCTTCAACTGCTGGAGACAAGCCTGCAGCTTGGCACAGCTTGGCACAGCTTGGCACAGCTTGGCACAGCTTGGCACAGCTTGGCACAGCTTGGCACAGCTTGGCACAGCTTGGCACAGCTTGGCACAGTGTCGTTGATATTAATAATTCTCAACATGTGTTAACTTGTTTCTTTTGTGGGGAGAAGGGGCACTTAGGAACTAGCTAACTAGGAATCACAAAAGACCTTGTCGCTCTTGGAGATGCACACTTGAACCATCAACGCCCAAATCTGCAGACTGAAGACTTGCAAAGTCGCACAAGTCGCCTTGGGGTGGTAGCGGATGTGCTGGATAATGCCTCATTGAGTTGAAGGTATGAAGCAAAACGTGAGAACCACAGTGGGAAAGCACCGTGATATACCGTGATGATCACTACTGTATGATTCCAGCTGCATTATTCATCATTATTCCAGGCTTGTGTACTTTGATATTTACTTTGATCTGAAGTGACAAATGACATATATTGACAATATTAATTGACTCAATTTTAGCATATTTTAGTCATGTAGTTCACCATAGTTCACCCAAAAAAACATGTCCTGATAACTGGGAACTCAGGACCTGGCGACTTGGAATGGCTCGCGAGCATTTTACAACACAGCTCCAAGGCATTCAAATGTACCTGGGACGTCATAGATAGTCACAGTAAATGCATAGTAAATGCATAGTAAATGCACTTTAGATTCTTTAGATTGTCAACAAGCAGCGACACTGTACTGCTTACTGCTACTGCGCTACTGCTACTGCATTTTCACAGCATGACACTACACTGCTACTATACTTGAGAAGCAAGAAACTGCATTGTAGTGCCATCCAAAAACTTGGGGCCCAACCCCTTTTGCATTTGGTGGAGGTGTCAACCTGCACTGACTGAAAACTCTGGAGCATTTTTTGGGGCCAATCTCAGGTCCTGTATCAAAGTTGGTCTACAAACATGTCATATTATATATATAAACCAAATCATGCAAGTGCACGCGAAGATTTTGTGTCTGATCTTTCATGATCTTTCTGTACACTGGAAAGCATTTGCAACTGTGACAAGCCTCAGCCATGAAACAGCGAGGTGTGCTTGCACCGAGAAAGCACTGGATGCAACCAGCCGTTCCGTGCACTCTGCCAAAGCCTCCCGACAGTGGCTCCAGTGTGGCTCCAATTGGAAACGTCGCGGGAACGGGCCATGACAGATCGGCGATCTGGTTGGTCACAAAGTCAATACGAAGCTACGAAGTCGAGGAAGTTGCTCCACGAAGAAACCACAAGACCAGTCACAAGACCAGAACACATGACCGGCCTCTATCTCTTTCTCTGAAAGTAAGGTTGGCAGTCGGACAGCTGCGTGGACCTTGGAAAGCACTGTGTGAATCGCAAGTACAAAAACATCAAGAACAAGACAGAGAACATCAGAGAGATCTATGATAATGTTTATGTATAATATCTACAGTGATTTTAGATGCATATTTACAGAATTGTATTTATGTGTAATATATGGCAGTGTGTCAAAACCTTGTACCCCTGGTGAACATCAAAATAGGTGGCAAATGGATGTTCATCCCCTAATAATCCCTAATAAACAATATCTATAGGTATATTGATCCATAGCCATATAATATTATGGAATCAGCATTCGTTTTCCCCACTGGATGTCTGCCACAAAGAGCGGCGAGAAATCGCAGCTCATCCACCGAGATCTCCTCACGTGCCTCAGAACGGTCTAGTCAGGTCTCGCATCGAGTCGCAACAATTCGACATCCGAAATATCCGAACAAAATGAACCAATTATACGGATGAGGGTCAATGGGTATTATTGTTATTAAAATAGTCAATAATAATAATAATAGTCAATTTTATACCACTATTTTTTGGTCTATGGGTCAATTTGCAAACGGCAAATACATCTCGATAGATGGTACCACAGCAATAAACACATATTTTGTTAATCTTTGATCATCTTTGATGTACAGAATGTGATCTCATACTCCAGCACTCGAAGGCCTTCTCCGACTCGCTCAGGTTTTGAAGCACTGGTTGCAACACGGCAGGAAGCGCATCTGACAGCCGCGTCTCCTGTGGAAACAACCACGTTACATCACATTGACGTGGGTGGAACTCACGTGTTCCTTTCAGTTTCTTCTTTGTGAGAGTTAGAGTATACAGATATGATATGATATGATCATATGTTGTCATCATTTGTACTCGTTACATTGCTCTGAGTGTCCACCCAACGCTGAAAGTCTGTCTCTGCTTTAGGCCATCCGTGTCTCTCACCGTGTCTGCCAGTGCAGTGCCAACCAGGGCAGCTTTCATACCTCAGAGCAAGCTTCTGCTTGCATTGTGGTCTTCAGGAAGCTGCAACATGCTGCAACCATTTTCTGTGGGATTTATTGCAGTAGCTGTGTGTCTTGGTTCTTCATTGGTCAAGGCCCAAAAGCAGCTTTCACAAAGTTTCAGGACACCTTTACCCAGTTGTGGACCCCACAGGCCTTCCAATTGCCAGCGGCGTTCAATCAACCCGTCGGCAACTGCATCGTAGAAAACCCGGTACTGCAAGCATCCAATGATATGCCATTGCGGAACCAAAATTGTGAATATCAATATCAATATCAATATCACTATATATATATATTGATATATATCATATATTACCAGTATCATTGTTATCATTATTATTATCATTATTATGATACATTATGATTACATTAATATTATATAAATAATATTAATATATCATAGCTCTCGAAATGCAGAACCACACTTTGATGACGTGATTGGATTGTGATTGCTTCTAGTTTTTCGTGACAGATCCAACTTTAGAAGATCCAACTGCTGTCCTCTGGCATCTGTGGCGACAGCTTGGAGAATGCATAGAAGGCTGTCGTCACCTTGCGGCCAGAAAAAATGTCCATGAGAAATCAGCAGGGCCATCGAGGGCCTCCGTATTGAAAATATTTGAAAATCAATGCCTGATTGGATACTTGCTCATTATTATTTTTTACTTCCCATCAGACTGGAACATCTTGAACTGACCTGAAAAAAAACATCTTTAGGCCAATAAAAAATGTCTTTTTCTGAGGTGAAAAAGCAACACATGCCCTACATAACCAGACATGCCCGTGCTACATCCTCCAACACCACCTTTATATATATATATACCTTTATCATTCTAATCCAGTGCCTCCTTTGCGTTCAGGTTCTGGCTCATCGAAACTCCTACTGTACAGATTTGGTTTTTATCAGGACATGGCAGCAGAACAGAACGGAACCCAGCTCGGTCCTGCATCTACGGACCGTCGCAACCGTCTGCCAATCTGGGCAGCCATGGGCAGCCATTGTATGGCATGGTTCCAGTTTCAGTTGTGCTATGCATGAAGCGCATCTAAAAATGAAAATCAAAAGAATGCGCTATGTGTCCGATAGTCCGATGATACGCTTGTGTAGGTCAGCTAATCCTCATACTGATTCTTTGCAGTTGCCTGTATCAATTCCCTTGAATGTGCCAGAAATCCATCAAAACATCTACCATCATCTACCTATGTATAGCAAAGCATCAGAAAGGGTCCCACCTCTGCCGCAATTTCTGCAGCAACCGGGCCAATCACCCGTCCACGCCTTGAGAATCAAAAGGACTGCCAGCAGCCAGGGAAAAATGGGAAAGTATACCATTACTGTAACAGACTGAGTCTGAGTAGGACATGGGATGGGAAAATTTGGAAAAGGACAAACTGTGTGACAGCACGAGACACTCAACACCATACTCTCCCGATCCTTTCAACTAGAAACTGATGGGTGAAGAATCTAACATGAGGCGGCAATTTGTGCGACAGCGTTGGTCTGTCAAGGGTGAAGAACTGGCATTGACGCCCAATCCGGAAGTATGTGCAGTGCGATCTCCTGACAGTGTAAATCTAGAGACAAGCAAGACATTTGAGTACCCTCTGGTAAACTAACATAGCTATGGAAAATGGCCATCTATAGTGGATTTTCCCATTAAAAATGGTGATTTTCCATAGCTATGTTAAATTACCAGAGGGTATCATTTCGAGCATTGGGCTGACTGGGCTGACTGGGCTGACTGGGCCCCAACCAAAATATGAGTTTCCGGACTGACCAAAATGGCTGGCACAGTCCACCAGCTGGTTGAGCCCGAAGTATGGCAAGGCCTGACTGATCGAACCCGAAGAGAAATCCCTTGTGTAGATATGTGTAGATTGTGTCTGGGATTGTCTGGGGAATGAGATGGAATCAGCTTTATTTCGGATTCATTCGGATTCTATCTAAGTCATCTAAGTCTAAGGTACCAGTTCATAGCCTAAGTCGTTGCTTACCCAAGTGTATGCAAGAAAATGGAGACTTGACTGCACTGATCTGTTTCACTTTGATATCTAGATCTTCGTGGAAGGAAAGTGAAGCCAGCAAAGGGATCACATAGAACAACCTTGCTACCATTCATTAAAATTCCAAACTCGCTTCTCCAGCTTCATCGTTTGACTACTTAGAGATACTTGGAGGATCTTAGAGGGATGTTGAAAACCAGCTCGGGGCATTTTCGTTGTACTTGCAATCAGTTACAGTGGGACACTGCCGACTTGTGAGCCACCTCCACCAGAGTGGTCATCTCCACACCTGCAAGTGATGTCAAAAATATGTCAGAGAAATGTCAAACAATGATAGCCGCTATACCAATTCGGGCCATTCGTTGTGCAACTTACAGAGTTGTTGGTTTCCTTCGACACGTGTTGCACATGTCCTACACCAAAATGATCCAAAATGTGTTTGGTATCTTTTGGCAGTCTCTTGGATTCTCTTCGTATTGAAATCGCTGAGAGGAATCGCTCAGGTTGCCTTCTCCAGCTGGAGTATTGACCTTTTGCAGTGTGCGGAACACATTGTTGGCCTGCGAAAAGATCGCCATCATTCGCAATCCGAATCATGAACTGCGCTTGCACAACATGTTACATACATTTTCCGTATCAATACGTCTCAATAGGTCTCAAACATTAACGTTTTGGCAGTACCGCTTTGAAGGATGCCTTAAGAGCTGCTTGAGCACCGATCCGCCTCGCAGCTGGCAACCTTGGTCCAGAGATGTCAGTGTAAAGTGTTGAACCAAACACGACCGACACGACTCAACAGGATTCAACAGGATTCAACAGGTCATCCTGAACACCTCAACATACCTCAATTTTCCAATACGTGTTGCACTGTTGCACAAAATATGCGGTACTTGAACGGTACTTGCATGATCTTGTAACATTTCGTATATTCTTATGACTTCTTGTTGATGACAGTTGCCTTTTGCATCGCTTTGAGCTTTCAAACGCCATTCACAGCAAGTGCTGGTGGGCGAGCAAGCCAAGACTGACACAAACGATTGAATTACACCAAGGCAAAGATGTGTCATGTGCCGTCAAAGTGGAAGTTGTGGGATTCAATCGGATATAGTTGGATTAAAGGCAATGGTGAAGGGTGGCCTATTTGCACGACAGGAGCTTTGCCGCATCACAATCACTGCGTACAATAAAGCTCAGTATGAAATATGAGAAAGGCCTCTGCTGAGAGAGTCAAGCAATCCGCCTGAGCTCCGCTTCTCTGAACATCTCCACTTCAAAATCTTCAAACGTGTTGCAAAATGAATGGCTCCAGCATGTCTGCTGAGACTTAAATAAGATTTGGAAGGAGTTGCAAACTCAATGGCTCATACTGTAAGGGATCAAGTTGACTCAAGGATCTGGCCCATGCACAGCGCCCTGGGCGATGTTTTAGCATGTTGACTCTGCTGTGGCCAGTCGTAGCCTCAGCATCCGACATATCCTGAAGGTTTTCAAGGCCCAAGAATTCCCATCTCTGAGAGCTTCACCCTATCCACAGCCAGGAGCATGCAAGAGCCAAACCCAGCATGAAATATCACGAAATGGTGCAACAGGAAGCTCAAAACATATCAAACTTATTTCCCACCGGCAAATCATGGCAAATCCCTGCATCTTTAAGTTATGTTCATTGTGAAGCAGCCCGCACTTGTGCTGCTTTCCAGCACTGTTTTCACCCACCTTCACCCTGAGCTGTACACCAGGCGGCCAAACCCTACACTTCGAGGGGCCAGTGAAGGCAGCTGTCAGCTATGTTTGCCTCCATGTGGATTCATCAGAAGACAGGAATATATGCATTCAGGTTCGCAACTGCTAAATGCATTAGAATATACAAGAAGAATAAACAAAAAACGATATATATTGTTTTGTATATTAGTAATCTTATATGTAATTATATGTAATGATATGTAATGCATGTATAGTAGACACAATATGATGCATCCAATATATACGATATACATTGGACTGGACCTTGTCTCTGTGCGAATCCACCTGGATGTACCGAGGGATCGCCTCAATTCCTTGCCAAACTGCAAGAGATTCACCTAGAGCTTAGGCATTTTTCTAGGTGGATAATGGTGGATATAGAGCAGCCAAGCACCGCTGTGTGATCACTTGAATGGCTTCCAGGGCCAGGGCTTCGCACTGTTCGAATTCTACGTGTGCAACTTGCGCCCGCATCCAGTTTATCCAGTCACAATCATGCTAGCCGCTAGCTGCTATAGCTCAAGGGCGACCAATCCCATCGCCAAATATAAAAACTTTGAAGATCTTTAAAGGCAACACCTGGTTGCATAATTTTGCAAATACCACCTGTTCCATATCCATTCTGACACTCAGAAAGTGCTGGTGCTGAGATTTAAAACTTAGCGCTGCAAAAGCTCAAAGGCAACTGGACACCACCATTTCATGAAACATCATGAAACATGACTAAACATGATGAAACGATGTGTGTTTCTTATAGCTGGCTCCAGCTGGCACAACAGCTTCGTTCATGTTTTTGGGGTGGTGTACAGTGTACAGCCAGAACTCTCAAAGCTGGCTGCGACTGCGAAACCATTCGGGCACTGTCACCTTGGTCGCTTCAACTCCCATGGGCATGGACCTATCACGGACCTATCATAGACAGATGAAAAAGGCAACGAGCTCAGGTAGGTGAGGACAAAACGCTAAATTGACATGGACAATTATCCTAAACTGCCCAGACCATTTTGAGAGTGCAGCTACTAGGTAGTTTAGCAGTTTGCTGTGTAGTTCCGTGTAGTTGGAAGTCCGTTCTTGATGCCAGCAAATGGACAACTAGAAAGGAAGCTGCCACGAAGAAAAAATATCTTCAGGACGCATTTGGTGGCGGCGCCAAGGAGAGCCCAAGGCCTTTTGCCTGCTGTGATCAAAGCTTTGTTAACTAATAAGCAACCAGATTGACATCACTTCGAATTCATGGAAAAAAAACACGAAACAAATAAAGACGTCAAAATACGCCAATTCAGTTCTGAACAGAGAATTTGGGCTCTTAAATCTGATGAACACTCCTGAGCACTGATCAGCACCTTTTCACTCAGTCAGCTCGAAGGTAGCTGAAAGCACTAAAATGGCTGCAGCACATATACAAACATATATGCTACATGTGACATAGTCTACACTGTACACATATCTGATCACGCCTTCCGAGCCTGTTTAAAAACGGCGCTCCCGTCCAATTATTTGAACTAGGCGAGTTTTGATATGTACAGCTACTCATAGCCACGCTCAAGCCATCTATGCTCTCAGTGTCAGGTGATGCTCACCTTCCAGAAAGTGAAAATTCATATTTCGCAAGGCTTTATTCATTTTCTCTTCTATGACAGGTTTCGTCAAGACGTCGGCAAGCATATCGCCAGTGTCGACCTTCTTCAGCCGAAAATAGCGCTTGGCAACGCGGTCTTGTACCCAATGGTATTGAGTATCCACGTGCTTGGCCTTGCCTAGTCCTCTGCGAGAACCCATTGCTATTCCTGCACTTGCGTCCATGAAAACTTCACTCTCGGGTTGCAAACCCCAGTCTTTGGCGGTTGAAACTTCTCCCAGCAAATTGCTGGCGCCGCTCACAAGAGCGTAATACTCACTCTCTCCAGACGAAAGACTGACTACTCCTTGTCCTTTAGAGTAAGTCTTGATACAACAGCCTCCGGCCATCAGGACGCCTCCTGACACGCTCTTCCTCGTCTTCACGCAACCAGCGTGGTCAGCATCAGACCACATCACAAATGGACTGAGTTTGCTCTGATGAGGGAAGAATTGTGCCATGCGTGGTCGATACCTTAGGTATCGTGCAACTCGTTTGAGCATAAGCATGTGGCTGGTAGTTGGTCGTTGTAGCCCTTGTGCTAAAGATCTTGTCGCTACTTGCAGATCTGGTCGATCTTGTGCCAAATAAGCTGCTCGCATTGCAACTGATCTGTACTGGGTTGCTTCTTCATCATTGAGAAAAACAGTGGCGTTCTTGAGGTCTTCCACTGAACCCTTGGCAAGTGGTGTCTTGACTTTGGCTCCTCGGGGACCATCTCCGAGTAAATCAATCACCAACTCTGCATGACGTGCATCTGGTTCCCACCAAATTCCATTCTCCTTCCATGTGATAATTCTGTTCAGGACTCTGATGTCCTGGATGGTGTTTGGTGTTCCTGGTGGTCCTAAAATACCACGTTCCACACATTTCCACTTCTTCGACAGCTCTTCATGAAGCCATTTGATGTTGTCAAATGTTCCGGCTGTTGTAAAATCATCTCCATGTACAACAGTTCTGAGGTCTCGGCCTGCATGGTAGTAAATGCATGGATTGCTTTTTCCTTGCTTGAAACCTAAGGCTAACATAACCTTCTGTATTTGCAACTCCCAGTTGAGAGGTGCGTCTCTGGTTCCATACAAAGACTTGAGCAATCTTCCTACCACATCTTCTCCAGGCTTCTTTGCTTCTGCAGGAAGTTCCACATAGATCTCACGCGTCGCATCTGAGTAAAAGTGGGCGCGTTTCACATCCAAAAATCCTAGAAGTCTACGCTTGCGATAGGCTTCCTTGACAGCTTTTCCAGCGTCTGGCAACTGAAACGTGACGGCTATTGTAACTAGCATCTTCAAAGCCGACAAACTGGGCATAGCTGCGAAGAACTCATCAAAACCTGAGCCCTTCTTGACTTCTTGAGCTACTAACCTACTTCTATAAAGTGGATTCTCTTCATCCTGCTTGTTGACATCTACCCATCGTGTTCCAATGGTGCGTACCCCTTTGGGCATCTTGTGTCTGGGAATCTTTTCCCAAACTGGAAAACTTTCGATGATTTCGACCTCATCTTTTCTGGCTTGTTCTACACCTTTGCTGTCTAAAATCTTTCCACTGATATCATCGTAATAATACCATGTGGCTGCTTCATCTTCCAGTTCTGGTGGAAGAGGAATTGTCTCTTCACAAACTGGCTCTTCTTCACCTTCAATGGACTGAAGGTACTTCTCCCGATCTTCCATGATCAGGTTCATAAGACATTGGTCTATGTCATCCATGTCTTCTGGTCTCTCATTCTCAGGTGGCCGTTTGGTGCCCTTAGACGCCTGAGCTGAAGCAGCTCGGCTGTCCTTGGACTTTGACGTTTCGCCTCCTGAGTCTGCAGGTCTTTTCCGACCTTTGGTTGGAGACACTTCCAACCTTTTGTGTGCTCTTTCTTCTTGCTCGCCTCCTGCCCTCTTGGCTGAGGCTGTGCTTGCGCTTGCGCTTTCTGCAGGCGGATCTGCAGCTTGTCCGGTAGCAGGACTCTGCCTCGCGATAGCAGGTCCAGCTGTTGGCAAACTTGGAGCAGATTCCCCTGTGGCTGAGTACCACAGTTCAGTGACGATATCTGCGTCATCAATCAAAGGCGCGTTGATGACTTCATCTCCTAAACTAGGATCCATTGGTTCAGACTTGATAATGTTTCCTGTTTTGAAATCTCTGGTGACTCTCCACCAGACATTATCCCAACCGGGACCTTCTGGCATAGTACCCTTGAGATACCTTGCATTCTTGTCAAGGCGCGCAAATACCTTAAAACCGTGAGGAACTTCTTGTGGTTTCTCACTTGAATACCCATAAAGAATCTTTGTGCCTTCTTCGGACACTTCTTGTTTCTGACCAGTGATTTCAGAATTAACCTTGGCCGTATGTTGGGCTACTCTCAGGTTGCCCTCTTCTGCTTGAAGCAGACGTTCCATCCTTTCTCTGCAGGCTGGAGTGTGATGAACTCCAGTGCCTCTTTTGCCAATTCTAGTGGCATCACAGGCGACACAACCAGCGGTGTAGCCATACTTGTCCAAATCACGTTTGGTGATGTAAAGTCGTCTTGTCGACTTCTTTGGTGGCTCAACTGGCACTGATGGCGCCAGTGGCTGCTGATCTCCCCCAACAATCTGAGGAAGCAAAACATCATCTCTTTTTGATGCTTGAGGATCCCAAGGAACCCCAGTGACTGACATCAAAGTTTCGGCATCATATCTGTCGTCAGCACTCTTGCGTCGAATGCTTTGCACAGTGAAAGCACCTGATGCATTTCCCACTATCTTCTCAGTGGTATTGTCTTTGACTCCCAAGAAAACTCCTTGGTGCCATCTTTGTTCAAACTTGTGACCTCTTTTGAGGAATTCAATTGTTTCCCCAAATGGTGGTAATGACACTCTCCACTCACGACCACGGTGTCTAGAGTACGGTGTCTTCCCATCTTTGACTTCCAATGATCTGTGAAACAAATTGTAAGTGGTGCTAGCATGTTCAACCAACCATGTCAAAACTGGGTGGTCGTCTGGCACCTTTCTTCCATAGCTTGTCTCCAAGGCACTTCTGAGTGTCCTGGATTGAGATTCAATAGCTTGAACTGCTCTTTCAATTTCCCCTTTGGATTCTGAGACTCCTTTGGGAACTTTTTCCAAAACCAACTGTTTGTCAAAACCATTCTTGGCTGCCTCAACTACGGAGTTGAGTGCAGGCTCCGGGTCATACCTCATGACCATCTTGGGGTACCCAAACTTCTTAAGGTCATTCAAAAGACACCTAGATCCAATAGGACCTTGGGTAACTCCCTTGTATGGCAAAACGTGTGCGTAGGTCAACTTGGACCATCGATCATGTACTATCAAAACTGGTGCATGCTTTTTCTGCACTTCTTCTGTGATGACAGTGTCATCCACTGAATTCATGAAACAATAGTCAGCTGAGATCACAGGAACTGTTTCATCTGAATGATCTACTTTGACATGTCTCATTGCCTTTGCCTTACCTCGAATGCAATGTTCACACCAACTCCTAAAAGGATAATGGCTGACAAAATGCTCTTCTTTTTCTCTCTGCGTCGGCGCTGCTGCAGTTGGTAGCGCTTGAGAACCTAGCTTACTACTGCCCGGTTCATCATCTCCACTACCTGCGCTCTCTGTGGTCTCCACAGGACTTACGCCTTCAACCCTTCTGTGGGCTGCCCATGAAAATCCATGGCTATCTTGAAAACACCTCCAGTCATGGTGACTGGAACCTTCTTGGCTCCCCTTTGCAGAAACGATCCATTGGGGCCGAAGGTTACTGTCCAGCCTTTCTCAACCAGCTTGGACACAGACAACAATGGCTTTGCAACATCCATTGCCCGGAACTGTCCCACACCTTTGACTTGTGGGCCTCCTTTCTCACCCATGGTCACTATAGGGTTGCACACCCCATGCACCTGGACTGGCTGCCCTGATGCGTTGGTGAACGGCTTCTCATCCACAGGTGTCATAGCCAACTCCAATGACTGTGCCAATTCCTTGGGTAGGCAACTGGTTGCTGCCCCTGAGTCAACGGTGGCCCAGACAATGGTATCCACCTGAGATGCCAAACTTCCCAGGAAGTCGAGATTGGAATCAGATCGAACTCCTCCTCTTGGTGAATGCTTCCTGGGCTTGGGAGATGGCGTTTTCTCCCTCTTCTTCCTGGCTTTTCTCTCCATGTAATTAGCTGCATCACGCACCGTCTTCTCCAGGAATCTCTTGGTGCCCATGCTGAACTTTCCCCTGCCCTTGGACGCCTGGGCTGAATCAGCCCAGCTGTCCTCAGGCGCTCTCGATGGGGATTTGGACTTCAGCTCGATGGGTGCTCTGGGTGCCTCTTCTTCTTCTTTCTTTTCTTCTTTCTCTTTCTCCTCGACCTTCTCTTTCTCCCCTGGCCTCTTGGGGATCTTCTTCACCTCGGGCTTCACTTCATCTTTGCCCTTGTGCCTGAAGCGCTCGTAGTGCTCCTCAAAGCTTTGCTTGCGCTTCTTCCTTTCTTCATCCTTGGCAATCTCTTGGCGCCTCTTCTCATCTTTGGCTTCTGCATCATCCATGGGGCGCTTCTGGGATGATTCTCCTTCTTCTCGTGCCTCTCTCTCTGCCTTTACCTGACGATGTTCTTTCTTCCAAAACTCCAGGGCATACTGAGGATAGCATTGCTTGTTCTCCACATGTTGCCAAAAGCTTGCAACGCTCATGGAGTTGAGTGCCTTTCCACATGACTGGCACTTCACATAGGGAATACCCTTTGTTGGAGACAGTTTTGCACTTCTCATGCAACTCCTTGAATGGAATGGGTCTTCGAAAGGAATTCTGCCAATGCTCGACCACATCCTCCATGCCTGGTGCTGGCTCCTGGTTGTAGGGCAAATCGTCTGGATCTGTCTCATCAGAAGATCCTAGGTCAAGAACTTCACCATAGGCTTTCTCGTAGGCTTCCTTCAAGACGTTGTCCAACTTGCTGAGGACTTCAGGATCGGTTTTCAGCTTTTCAAGTCTGCTGACAAACTCATATCCTTCAGAGGAAATGCTCTCCTCAGAGGAAATCTCACACTTGTCGTGGATCCATTGTGGGATCTCATCCTTGCTCATCTCTTTCATCTTCTCCTTATTGGCCTTCTTCCTTGCTTCATCTGCTCTACGTCTGTCATGACGTCCTCCTCTGTGGCGCTTAGGTTCCAGCTTTCTTGCTTTGGGAGGTTCAGGAAGATCTCCCATGTCATCCTTGTCCCACTTGTCAGGGTCGGCCTGTCCAAAGGTGGCCAACTCATAGCGCTTGAAGCTGGATGCTCTTTGTCCAGCAGTGGCTGCTCGATGACTGGCAGCTCTCTGCCTGTCCTTCTCCTTCTTCTTGGCAGCTCTTGGATGTACTCCAGCATCAAGGTCGGCTTGCATCCGACGAGAGGGTGCAGCCGGTGCTGAAGCAGCACGGCCTTCTGCCCTCACTTTGGCCATTGCCTCTTTGGCCTCTTTGTGATGCTGGGCTGCCTCTTTCTTTAACTTGTCCAGGGCTTCTTGGCGTTCCTTAAGAGCTTGATTTGCTTGACGCCCTTTGTCCTGAGCTTCTTTGACAGCGCTCTCAGCCTGAGCAATCATCTTGCCAAACAGCTCCTTGTTAGACCCAGAAGCTGATGCCAAAGCGCTCTGAGCCATGACGATAGCGCTCCTGGTCACAGTGCTCCTTGAAGGTGCTTGAAGGTTTGCTCGTCTTGGGCTTCGACCACGACGAGAAGATTCATCTCGAGCTTCAGACTTGGGTGGCATAGTGTCTTCCAAGGCAAACAGCGCAGTGATCTCTGGTTCAGGTTGATCACCAGATGATGCTGCAGGTTGTTGCTCTTGAGCCCAAGTGTCAGACTCAACATTAGCAACTTTACGACCTTTGCCTTGATCCCCTTTTCCTTTACCTTTGTCTTGACCTTTCTTACCTTTGCCTTTGCTCTTGGAGTCATTGGTATTCTGTTTAGACCAAGACTGCTGATTCCAAGATTGATTGTTCCAAGACTGATTGTTCCAAGACTTGTTGTATGAGTTGTTTGACCAAGACGAAGACTGACTCTTTCCTTTGTCTTTACCTTTGGACTTACCTTTGCCTTTCCCTTTATCATGTTTTCCTTTTCCCTTACCCTTAGCAAGGGAATCCACATCCATGGGAACGGCTCCTGACTTTGCTTCTTTCCTGGTCTCGACGTTCTCAAGGTAGGCCAAAACTTCAGCTTTCACCTGGTCATACGTGGTCAATCTCGAAGCCTGCAAGTCCAAATGATCTTGCAACTTGTTGGGACACATCTGCTGCAAGCAACTCCTGCAGATGTCATCTTCAAGTGGTTTCTTTCTCCTGTCTTCGTACTTTCTTTTCAAGTTCTCCCAACTCTCAAGCCCTTCTCGAAGCTTATCAAGACTGCATTGACTTGGATGCAGAACCTTTTTCAACAAGGCTGAATTGGCTTGAGGATTTTGAGGATCATATTTGCACAACAGTCGTCTCATGGCTTCTAGGCCAAAGTGGCTACCACGAGATGTGTTCTTGACAATTTCCAACGCTTCTCCCTCAGTCAATGATATGAGGGCTTGTCTAGCCTGAGCTGAAACTAGCTCGGCGCCTTCATCAAAGTCTACTTCTAGACTTGACTCAGTGATCTCTTTGTCACACTGAGACTCGACTTGTGCCACAATCTTCACAGCGTTCTTGTGGCAACTTTCAACCCATGTCTTAAACTTGTACCACCAACTATCCCAAGTGCCTGATGCTCCATTGAACTTGTCAGGTTTTGGTATGCCTTTCAACTCTGATCTGTCTTTGTACTCAACAGATCTCTCAACATTTTTGTTGATCTGAAGCTGCTGGCTCATAGCCTCAGTCATTGCCTGATTCAACTGCGCCTGACCCTGAGTCAATTGGGCCATCATCTGCATAACCATCTGGGACATGTTGGGACCGTTGGTCTGTCCTTGTGCTGGTGCTGGTGGAGTGCCTGGTTGCTGAGGTGGCTGCTGTTGCTGAGCCATCCTTAGTCGTTCTTCAGGTGCTTTGAGACCTGATTCAAGAGAACCCTTGGGTACCTTTGGAGATGCACTCCAAGGTTATGGAAGTATCTTTGGATTTTCCTGATTTTCAGGAGCTTGAGTGTCAACCTTTTCCAGTTGGCACTGGGTAGGCGCGCCAGAGCTGATGCAGCTCGGCGTTGACACCTACACATTCACAGCTGGGTATCAGAACCTCAGCTCCGCTACCATGAACAGAGAATTTGGGCTCTTAAATCTGATGAACACTCCTGAGCACTGATCAGCACCTTTTCACTCAGTCAGCTCGAAGGTAGCTGAAAGCACTAAAATGGCTGCAGCACATATACAAACATATATGCTACATGTGACATAGTCTACACTGTACACATATCTGATCAGTTCTGCATCATATATATATACATATATAATATACATCTTCAAGATTATACGTTTATCATAGTTTACGATTTTGTTTCTTCTTGGACATTGACTTTGAACTACAAAAAGAAGTGGGTTGGAGCCAGGTGAGGCCTGGCCGCCTTCGGCTCCAGGCAGAGATGGCGGATCTCCACTGGCCTTGACAGCGCCGAAGAGGCTGATAGGCTGATGATAAGCTGATGGGAGATGAGAAGCCTATCAACACTGGAGTAAATTGCTGTCAATATATGTCAATATCAAACCAATGTCTTCCAAGAACACTTCAAAAATCTTCAAAGCTCAAACGATTCCCATCAATTCCGCTCGTCAAATTTGGAACACGGCAGCATGTCACAGCCAAAGCAGTGCCTTCACAGGTCGTCCGGATGGCCAGTGTGGACATGCTTCGCGGTAATCGCAGCCGCAAGCCAAGTAACCTTCGGCACGAGCCCATTTTTGACATCCAGAAGGCTGTTAAAAGATGTTGAACGTGTGCATTCAGCTCCAAAATTGATAATCCCTACCTCCTTTTACTGAACGTACCCCAAATACTAAAAACTACGCGATTCATTTTGGGAAATTTCAGACTGTCCAATTTGATTTTTAATTGATCCCCTTTCGAAAACAAATTAACAATGAAGGTCCCACTTGAGGGTATTACCCCCCAAGAATAAAAATAGTCAACCCCGGGGTGCTTTTTATTAGGGTCCGTCTTTTAAGATCGAAAAACACAAGTTTTTTATATTAAGGTTTTTAGATGCTTTTAATTCAATATTAGGGGAAAGCTTCGCATCCTAATACAAAAATATCATCTAATACTAAAGCTCCTGCAGGTGTTTATATTATTTGAGACGGGACGGTTTAGTAATAGGGGGAAGGGATTCTTAGGCTTGGAGTCCTCCAAGTCCTCCAAAACTTCTGAGCCCAAGACCAAGCTCCGAGTCCCAACCAGGCTCTTGTGAGGGAAGCGTAACTCGCTGGAAATCACCCTGGCGACGCCTTCGACAAAAGTAGAGAAACGCCATTCTGCAACAAGGCACCCAGGATAGTGTTCATTAATGATCATTAGATAATTTTCCATATTATCATATATATATAATATGTATGTCATGGATATATGATATAATTATAATATATATATATACAGTAACTTCTAATACAGTAACTTCTAATATATCGTTATATATGATCAATAGAATGTTCATTGTCCGAAGTGTGAGATGGCAGGGCACATGTTCCAGCAATCTAATCAACCTAAGGGATAGAAACCAATGGACGATGCAGCTGGCATTTCTCTCTGCTCGGAGTCTGTTTGGTATGGCATGTTGCCCTCTTGTCTCTTAGACAGCACCCTGATGGTAGCAAGACATGTCGAAGATGTTGTCGGAAAATGTCGGAAATCCCACATTCTGATCCATTCTGCTGCTGGCACCTGTCTGAACCGGGGCTTCTCTTCCACCAGGACTTAGAAAGTCGGCCAGCTGTGTGCCGCTGGCCAGCAATGATTGACTGCTGTCTTTTATTCCAAGATATTCCGAGCTTGCGACTTCGGATAGACAAGAGTATTGAGTACTGTGGCCTGGGGCATCTGGAGCATCGCTGCAGAGAATGGACAGTGTCGAAATGTCTATCCTCTTCACTGCATCGCTCTTTTCCACTCTTGTCTGCAGACCGGCAGCCATGTTGAACGGGAGTATGTCAAAAAAGGCACTTTGAACTCTTTATAGATTTTATAGAGTGCCACATGCAAAGGTACTAGAGACTGCCTGTTTCGCATCCAAGAAAGCCAGCTCTCTTCGGGCCTCTGAACACAAGCTAGGAGCAATCACCCACCAAATGCACAGAGCAATGAGCAGTGCGAAGGATGCGAAGGTGACAAATCATGACAGATCGATCTGCATTTTCCTGCATTTTCTGCATCGACTTCTGCGCCTGGACCAAGAAACATGCCATCCGACCTCAGGCAACATAGTCAGCTGATGTCAGCATGGCCCGGGTGTCGAAGGGTGCACTCTGAGTCTCCCTGCGACTCGTGCGCCGAAGGGGGCCGATGTACACCTCTCCAATTTCTGTTGTCAAACTGAACCTGCCAGCACAAATATCGGCAGATCAGGATCGAAGGTGAGTGGAGCAGGAGATGTCTGTTTTCCTCAATGACGAGCGTGCAGCATTGCTGTGCTCTAGGACAGGTGCTGGAAGTGTGTGTGTCAAAACACTGGGAGGAGTTTAAGAAGTAGTGAAGGGCGCAGTATCAAAGCTTGGTGTGGGAACTCTTCATTAATTGCCAGATATTACCAGCAATACAGTTGCATATAAGTTACATATAGGTGCCAAAACTGGACAATAACACATATAAAACCACATTAAGAAAGATGAGCCTAAGACTCACCTGAAGTCCAAAAATCATCGCCCAACCCATCCTGTGGATTCACTCGGGCACGAAACGAACTGCCTAGCACGGGCCGCACGGGCACAGGTAAGTTTCTGAAGTTTTTAACGTCTTTAACGCATTTTAATGCATTTTAAAGCAAGCTCTCCCCGAAAAAAACACTTGTACTTTGACCTCCCGTCTAGCTCATCTTGAATCTGCATCCCAGACGTCAATTTACAGTATCATTTGTCCCGACCTGGTCGGCAGGGAGATTCCCGGGGCGTGAACGGAGACACCCTCATCACGTCCTAGGCAACAATCAAGCTTACATTCAATTCAAATATGACAGAGGTGATACGAAGCCGCACAATATTGTCAATATGATTACTCCTTTATCATTTATATCATTTATAAATGTATCTCGTCCTCTGGCACATCTGAATATTCTCGCTACCGCTACCTAATCCAGACCGATTGCAAATTTAACATGCGTTTCAGGAAATCCGATGGGCACGCAGGCAACAGCAAACATCATGTCTTGTGCAGGATATCTGTTGTATTTACAATCTTTCTTGTCGGTAAATTTCAGTGCGTTTCACACTTGTCTATGAGTTTCAAGCGCCTCCTGTCCGAAACCACAGCAGCAGCCATTTTTAATTAGCATCACATCTTAGAGCTAAAACGTCCACTCACTAACTTTCAATCAGAGATAGGAGGCATAATCAAGAAATTATCAGGAACATTTGCATGACTTTGGAGCTTTCCTCGCCTTGAAAGGAGCGCTTGGATATCTTGGATCCATAGGGTCGAACGGGTCGAACGCATTCCTGGCATCACTGAGATCACTGATCCAATTGTCCATGCAAAATGAGAAATCCGAAACAGCTGAGGATCCGACCTTGAAGCTGCAGCTGCTGTGATTGCCAAAACCTCCAAAGTGAGACACTGGGTGATTCTGCTCTTGATACTGCAAGACAGCTGCCCATTGCCTTTAATTTGATAACAGGGTCACTCAGGTGGGTCCCTAGGGAGGCGTTTGTGATGTGACTTTACTGACATAGGAAACACAACGTACAGCATTCTTTGGACACGCGATTGGAAAATCACTGCGATGCCGATGCCTCTTCATCTTGTAGCTGGAATGATCCCAAATGGAATGATCCCAAATTGTCATCGCCTTGGATTAGCTGACTCTCTGTGGTTCTATTAGAATCAAGCAGAGTTTTGTCTTTAGACACGTCTCCAGCACCCAAACTACCCTCTGGTAAACTAACATAACTATGGAACATCACCATTTTTTATGGGAAAACTCACTATAAATGGTAGCTTTGTTCTATTTTCATCACATTTCAAATTCTGCTGTCCAAGTCTCTGAAAAGCGCAGGAGAATTCCGATATTGGCTGGTGGGCCGTGATTTGAGAGGATGGTGACGGTCATTGTGGTGGTAGAGGCTGTTCTCCTTTGCGGGATGACGTGCAGCAAAAGAATGCAAAAGAGCTGAAGAGTGTTCAAGATGATTTGGTTGAATCAGCCCAGGGCTGGAAACCATAGCATCAAACATATCAAACCGAGAATTTCAGTTTTCTTTCCTGCTTTCAGAACAGTGAGAAATGGCGACTCCTTCAATGTCGGTGTGGCCGAACGCGCTCCACGCTCTAGCAGCATCCGACCACGTCTCAGATTCAAAAAAGGACGGTGAGGGAGATTCTCAAAGTAATTCTGTTTATAGTTTCTTCTATGATCTGTAAATCTGTATAATCATTCCATGCATATATGATCCAAATGTATTCACATGATTCGGAATGCATTCTTGCATTTCTCGTCACGGCGAAAGATCTTGCATTACGAATGAGCCAAGGAACGATTGACGGAATCCACCTTGGCAATCGCTTGCACTGGAATTCCGTGATTCCTTGGCGGCACAGTACATTTGAACATGACTTGATAATCTTGATATGATTTAAGAACACTTCAAGGTTCAACCGTGGCCGAAAAAGAATATAGAAATTAGCTGTGTTTCTTGCAAGGCATTGCAAGGCGTTGTATTGACACATACTGACAGGTCGATGGGGTTGTATCCTGAAGATGGGACTACATGAAAAGATATGAAAAGCATGTCAAGAATGTTTCGCGCAACATTACACGCTGCTGCATGAAACTTGCGACAACTTGCAAAAAACATGTTTTTCCAGCTTCGCAAGCTCTTGTTCCCAGCAACCCTCGCAAGTTCTTTCATTCTGATCGTCCCACAGTGTAGGGGTTGGCACACCAGGGTTGAAATCGAAAGCCGAATTGTGCTGTTGACATATGTTGACATCAAGGTTTCCACTACGAAAGCAGAAGTTCCTGCTTCACACTGTCTCGTGCGAACCAACATGGGGTCCCACATGAATCTGTTTGCAAGAAGTCCTAGCAGCTAGGCCCTCGTGCAGGTCGCTCGCAGCTTGGCTCCCGAGTGCTCTGACTCAAGGCCTTGCTGAGACCAATAGCGCTTGACAACTGCTGTGAGACATTGTGAGACATTGTGAAGCTATGTGAAGCTATGTGAAGCTACGTGAAGCTGTCATGTCGAGTGAGTTGAATGTCAGATGTTGCATTTGCGTCTTGCTCGATGCCACTGCCCTGCAGGCTTGGGCTGAGGCAGACGGAGATACCGGCGACCTTCGGGGGAGACCTTGCTTGATGACTTTGATGGTCGCAGTATTTCCAAAGTTGTCTTCGTAGCAAAACTGGGCAAGTTACGGCAAGTTGATGCTGAGAAACAGAGCCTGCATCTTTCCAGTCTCTGTCCGTCTTCTGCAGAACAGGACCTAGAGACAGAAGACCGGTCTGCGCATTCAGATCCAAAGAATTCCACAGATGTCCAAAGTGCAGATGTTGCGGCCAACAATTTTCTAGCTCATAATATGTGTATATTAAAATTAATATATAGTTATAATATATATATAATATATAGTATTAATATATAGAATATATATAGTATTACAGTATATAGCAATGTGCACCAAGTTCTGGCTGAAGCTGTGCTTCGTGCACTGGCCATAGTACTCTCCGCGGATACCAACGCTGGCGATGGAACCATCCTGGCAGGTCGAAGCAAGCAGTTTCGGGTGTCCCACATTCTCCTCAAACATGATGGGAATACCCTCTGGTAAACTAACATAGCTATGGAAAATCACTATTTTTAATGGGTAAATCCACTATAAATGGCAATTTTCAATAGCTATTATGTTAATTTACCAGAGGGTATATGGGTGTTGATCAAAATAAAGGTATCTGGGGCAGCTACAATCCGTCGATCAACCGCGAAGAAAAACCACGATACCAATGGTGTCAATCGCGGGAGGGTTCTGTCGTATGCGACACTATTTTGCGCAGAGAATCATCAAAACATTGCTACATATCACAGTATTTAGAGACATGGCGTGAGCCAGGGCCTCAGGCGGGAACAATCGCGGAGCAATCGCCAACCACGAACCAATCGCGGATTTCGACATTTTTTGTAAATTGACATTGATCTGTGTTGTTATAGACTTTGAACTTGTTCTGATTCTTCTTTGCGGCGATCACTATTGAACAGAGTCTCTAGGCAGACCCAAATACTGCAATAAGGCTGAAATGAAACACAGTTATAATATGTCATAATGCCATTAAAATATCAAAAGTAGATTTCTCCTCTTACAATAGTTGATCCTTTCACCAGAATATACCAGAATCACCGGGAAACTATGCTAACTATGCATCGTAAAACAACATGCTACGACTGGTATCTTAAATGAGCTAAATCGACTCTATCCCAGCATACTGCACTGCATGTAAAAACTAGGTGATACTAGGTGTGTTTGGATGATGATGGTGGTGGTGGTGATGATGATGATGATGTCAATATCGATATAGATATTGGATCACTTTGTATGACAAAAAGGCTAGTCTCTACTCCCTAGCCAGCCTTCAGCTTTCTGATCGCTGGTTCCTGGAACAAAATGGGTTCTTTGGCTTGTAATGGAAAACACAGCTCTGCAACTGCTTGAAGTCTTCTCCCACTGAGCAACTTTCACTTGCGGATGGGCGCCAGGGGTGTGGTTCTATTGCAGTGCGCCATTTGATAGTGAAGTGATGTGACGTGTCAGTTCATCAAAAAAATCAAAGAACCAAAAGTACTTCCATGGATTTCCACAACATCCCATGCCAAGTCAATTCCGCACTTCCTGAGCGGGGCTTGGGGCTTCGCACCTGAGCTGTGCCGTCCACACTCGCTTCGTGCTGATCACGGTGATCATGCTGAAATGCACCGTTTCACAAGATGGTTTGTTGTACAATGTTGGCAAAGTTGTACAATATGTACAATATGTACAATGTTATCCAATATATCCAACTGCCAAAATCTGAGCTACAGCAACAACAGCTCATCGTCCATGCGGGTGCACAAGCCTTTCGCGGTGTCGGCTGGCTGTTTTGTGTTAGTTGGGCCAGTTGGGTTGCAACTCTTGTCCTGATCATCAGAGACAACCTTCCAGCCCTGTTTGAGATCACGTGGCTCTTTTCTGTGGCTGCCATGACCCTCTGGCTTGGCTCTTTAGCTGCCTCAGGCAACTAAAAAGGATGAAACCCATCAAAACTCTGAATCAAATGCAATGACTGTCCCATTTGGGAAAGCCAGCTACGCTAAATCGTGCTGGACTCAAGCCGAGTCATCCTTTCAGCACTGAAAGGAAGACTTGGAGAGTCGTCAGCAAATTTCAAAATGCACTAATTTCGTCTGCGACAAAGTCGTATCAATATTTTCACGTGGGTTCACACTTTTCTGAATGGGAGCACCATTCACAAAATGTCAGGTTTGTTATCCAATCGGATCACTCCCAGAGTTGGAATCCATATTAGGTTAGTGTTAAAATGTATAAATATGAATCGACTAATATTACAAAAGGGAATAACAAAATGACATAATTTATGACTACGGCATGAACTTTTTTCGACAAATAGGCAAGGGAAGCATCCAAGCACTGCTCAGCAAAGTGGAAGACCTGAGATGGGGCACACACGAGTGCACAGGTGAGCGAAGAATTGGTGTAAAGCCTCTGGTTCACAAAGCATTCAACGATTTCTTAAAGTAAGACACACCAATATGGGGATGGGTCAAAACCTTGTACCCCTGGTGAACATCAAAATAGCTAGTAAATGGATGTTCATTCCCCTAAACATGGCATGTATAGGTATTGATCCATAGCCATATCACCAATACACCGGAGCAAACACCAACCTGCCAACCTGGTACTGCTACAGAATCTTGGTGAAACAACTTGGACTTGGTCACAACCAGGGCCCTGGCGCAACTCATCCAAACGCAAAGTGGGTCATTGCCTCATCTGCAAGGAGTATCATCCAGAGTCATCCAGTGTCGTTCATACTGTGTGCAAATCTTTTCAGCTCCTGACACGGTCATGTTCCCTGAAGTCGCCAAGCACCTGGACACGATGTTTCATGCTATTTCTGAGCCTGGAACTTTTTGGCATGTAAGATGATGGTGCACTTGGTAGGATGACATCATGAATTGGTGGCAGAGATTGAGAGACAAGTGTTGCAAAGTGTTCCGTTTGCTCTTTCCCAAAGGACCTGGCCTGACCGCGGTCGTCCAAAGCAGCACCTGGTCGCCAGGCCCCAGCTGCTCTGTGTCCAGCTGTGAACTCAACACATCAGCTGACTGTATCCACAGAAGTCGTCAGCACAGCTGGACACCCAGAGTTTGGACAGCATCGCGATGAGTTCAAATTCTGGTGTGGGAAACAGATCCCTCACTCGTGGGACCTGCAACCATGTGCAACGGAAGCAAATGCTCTTCGCGACCATGGACCTGAACCAAGACAATCCCAAACCCACCAACACCAATAAGAAGCAAGTCGTGTAGCCGACAGAATGGCTAGAAGTGGCATCGTGACAGAAAGGTTTGCATATACAGAGAACCCTTCTCAAAGACCTAGAGAAACTCTCTAAATGTTGTCATGCTTTTCTGTGAACTTCTGCCACATGTCCAACCTTCAAAGGACAGTCGTTACGTGTTCATTCCGTGTGGTTGGATAAGACATGAGACATTTTTCTCCAAGAAATGATGCGTCACCCGCCTCGCGGGCATGAGGCAATGAGTATGTCCACTGACGGAGCCCTTCGTAGCCTCACGGTCTCGCAAAGGCGACCCCACAAGCCCCTTACTTAATCCGCTTGATCCCGCTTGGCATCTCAATGCCCAGAAAAACAAAACAGAACTTGAGATAACTTGAGAACATGATTGATCTACTTCAAGGGAGTTTTCCCAACAGAGCCAAAGTCACACACGAAGTCATGAACTGATGGAATATGATGACTCACGGTGAGCTTACTGCCAGCTGCAGCTGGTTCAAAATCAACCAAGCAGCGCTGCGAAGGGTGAGCTTTGCAGCAAAGCTGTTTCAGCTGCTCCGTCCACCTTTTCGAAATTCAGCATCCCAAAACATCCCAAACAAAGAACATAGCGGACAGACGCAGAGAGTGAACCAGTAGCAACACGGGTTTTGATTATCTTTGATTGTCTCTTCTGAACAGCCTGCTTGAGCAATATCTCGGGGCACAAGAGTGTCAAAAATGCCAGGACAATTTCCGTCCCACCATGTCCCACCTCTCAAGATGCTTTGGCTTGGCGGCAGCATTGGATGACAGGCCACTCACAATGATGAGCACTCCTCGAGACCTCTGGAAGTCTCGCGTCCAGTGCTGATTTCTGATGGTTTTTCTCTCCGTCTCTGGTGATGTCCCAAGCAGCTGACCGTAGGGGAGCCAAAGCTCGTCCGACCTGCAAAATTACTTTACTTCGTGTGATCCCCACCATGACATTTATACATGTTCTTACTGGCACATCTTCTGGCATTCTATCTGACATATCTTCTGACATTCGATTTGGCATTCTATCTGGCATATCTTCTGGCATTCTATCTGGCAAATCTTCTGGCATTCTATCTGGCATATCTTCTGGCATTCTATCTGACATATCTTCTGGCATTCTATCTGGCATTCTATCTGACATATCTTCTGGCATATATTTTGACATATCTTCTGGCATTCTATCTGGCATTCTATCTGGCATATCTTCTGGAATATCTTCTGGCATATCTATCTGGCATATCTTCTGGCATATTTTCTGGCATTCTACCTGGCAAATCTTCTGGCACTCTATCTGACATTTTATCTTCCTACATGAGGTCCGGCAGGGAACACTTGGCATGGATACTCGCAGATGAGGTCCGGCAGGGAACACTGGGCGTGGCTGGTCGTGGTTGAGGTCCGGCAGGGAACACTGGGCGTGGCTGGTCGTGGTTGAGGTCCGGCAGGGAACACTAGTCGTGGATGGTCGTGGTTGAGGTCCGGCAGCGAACACTGTGGATCGCGGGTCGCAGTTGGACGAGGACGACGAGGACGACGAGGACGACGAGGACGACGAGGACGACAAGGACGACAAGGATGACAAGGAGGACGAGGAGGACGAGGAGGAGAGGAGGAGGAGGAGGAGGAGGAGGAGGAGGACGAGGCAGGAGGAGGCAACTGACATAAAATCTAACAACCCTCACCTGGCAGGTGGGGAAAAAAGGATCCGCGAAACATTGTCAAATGTCAAAGGCGTTTGAACGTGATTGAACGATGTCCTCCCTACCATTTGCTTGTCAGTTCTCGCCAAACACAGGAAATGGGACAGGTCAAAGTGTATTGTTTCCTCATCTTCAAAGCAGGTTGCAACCCGCGGAATGGCAGATTCGAACATATTCGAACCACATTTGTGCGGACTCACCAAGCTTGAAAGCATCATCAAAAACGCAGAGGCAGTGCAAGGCGCGAGAAGCCTGCAGTAATCTTCTTCTTTCATATCTATTGCATTCTTTTGCATAGCGAGCGACAGGAGCATTAGCAGCAAATCCTTCCGTTCTTATCGGCTTCCGGTGCCCGTCACACACCCCTCCAAGCATCATCTCCGCGGAGGAGCAAGTGACCATTAAACACAGCATCACCCCGAATCACCCCGTCAGCACCCGCAGTGAATCTATATAGATCAAACGAAAGAAGAGCGTAATCCTTGCCACATCCTGCGCAGATTTTTGTTGAGCTTTTTGGGAGTACAAGATGTTCAAGTCACATGTCAGAACCGCCTCCAGGCAATGTCTGGCCACTTCAGCACCCCTTTGACCACTGAGCTCTGGGAGACTCAGCTGTACCACTGGAATGTTCATCAACGTCGGCCTCGGCAACTCTCTGCAAAAAATGCCACCATGGTGCCACAACAAATCGAGGACATGTTCCGGTCGAAATCATTGATACGTCTTGACACATCTTGACAGCTCTTGACCCATTGTTTTTCTTAATACCAACCATGTCTTGCTGCAACTCTTCGGAGTTTGCATCAGCACTTGCTTTCAAGCTGCATCAGCACCAAAGGGACGAAAACGCCATGATCCTCATGCTGGAATTTGATGACTTTGTGGATCCGGTTGTGCCATCCTACATGCCATGTTCCGGATGGCGCGCATTTCGTTCATTCCTCGCATTTCGTCGCCAAGGCTCCAGATTTCTGCCTGCATTGTGTCTGACACTTTTGCCCGCTGCTTCCAACAACTCCAGCACCCATCCAGACCTCAGATTGACCCCTTGAATCCCTTGAATCACATCAAAAAATACAGTCAGATTGGTCAGATTGGTCAGATTGGGCACATTTAAATATCTAAAATCCTCTCCCTCTGGCACTGGGCCCCGTTGCCAAATCATTCAGCAAAGCTATGGCACATGCTGTATGAATGTCATAAATATATATAAAATTATATAAATATGTCATGTCATTATTATATATAGAGTCATTTACCAGAGGCCTTTATTATAGGTGCGTTCACGAGTATCCGACAGTATCCTCCCAGTGTTTTTCTTTCTGAGCTGCACTTCTGCGTCTCCCGGTGGATGGAAGCGATGGTGCACCTGGACATCGCCACAACCAATGAATGCACCAAATGAACAGAAAACATCTCGGGTGAATTGCTAAGAGCTGTGCCTTTCCAAAGTATTAGAATTCATTAGAATCATTAGAACATATTAGAAATCTATGCATCGTTAGTGATGGTTTATCATGGTTTATCATGGTTTATCTTGCCTTTCGTTATCTATCGTTCTTGCCCGGAACTGGCCTCGTAGGTCTGTCGTGGGGCTCCAGCATAGTCATAAAGAAGTCCTTGACCATGAGTGCGTCGTAAGGTCACCTCACATCTCATCGAAGTGCCGAAGCCATCTATGCACAAACTTAGCAGGCCTGCCTCAAGCTCGCCCTTGGTCTCCCAATGTGCAGAGATGACCAAAATACATCTCACCTCGGCAATTGTCGGTGACAAGATGTTACAAGATGTTACAAGCGATTCAAACCACAGAATTCCAATCTTTCAATCAACCCTGGCCATCCGTGGATGCAAATATTAGGCCTTCCTCAGGTTTGTCTGGACTGCACTCACAAAGTTTCTCACAGGTTGATCGGAACACTTAACACAAGCCTTACCTGGGCTTTTGCAGTGGGCTTGCCATCAAGAGCGAGCAGCGCGTCACTTTCATGGATTGATGTAGCTGTTTGCTCGAGTTTGGCCCTAGACTGGTGCTGGGTGAGCCTCATTCATTCATTCATTCCACACACTGCGCGGGTTCGAGCTGAGCATTGCCCAGCTAAGACGGCTTGCGCCCATATCGAAAGAGAGAAAAAATTGAGCCTAAGGCTCTGTGAAGGTCATCACAGAGACTAAAATTAGGCTTCGACACAGACATATTGGATGCCTGCGTCTCCCAAACCTTGTGATTGGAAGACAAAAGCGAGGCCAGGAAGAACCCGCAGGCCAGTGCCATGAGCCCGCATCAACATGAAAAAAAATCATGCAAGACACATTAAAATACTGTAAAGATCTGTAAAGAGCAAAATTGTTTAAAATTGGAAAGCGCATTGGATCTGATCCGTACCAACCACCAGCATCTGTTAAAGTTCGTCGTACCTCCTGTGGCGGCCAGCAGCATCGGAACAGGCACGGCTCAGTTTGTCATAAGCTGCGTTGATCCGCAAGGACTTCTCTTTGCAACGTTCAGCTCCGCATTTGTCGGGATGATGCTTCTGCATCAGCACACGACGCTGCTGAGAAATCTTGTCGCAAGAAAATCTGGAAGACCAAGAAAGCTCCAACTCTTGCACTGCAGCGTGCTGTCCATCCCATCCTGCCAACTCCTGCAAGAAACCCATGAATCTACGCAGCGTATGCTGAGAGATCCACTGTGCCACAGAAGCTGCCAAGTTAGCACCAATGCTTTGTCCGAGCAACTGGCCACCCCACCCGCCCAATGCAATCGCTCCAGGAACCAAGAAAGGGCTCACGATGCCAGTAGCAACCATCAAAGCACTTGAAGCATAGCCTGCACCAACAGCTCCAGCAACACTGCCAACAGCACCTCCAGCTATAGCACCCACACCGGAAGACACATCGACGACTGCACTTTCCAGGACATCAGCTGCACAATCAGAGTTCAACGCGTCACAACCCAAGGATGCCCTAATGGCGCCTGTGACTGCATTGAACAAATGAAATGTCGGATCACGAAGCAAATCCATGGACGACCAATGTCTCGCCACTGTCTCGTCCATGAAGCGTTTCTCACCTTTGCTCAGCCAAGCACTTGAACTCCTGACATGTGCACGCCCATCCCAGTCGTAAAACAGCTGTGAGTTGATCTTCAGGGAACCATGCGTTGGCTGTGCCATCTGTCTGCCCTGGTTATCGACTTGGGTGAAAGAAACCTGCTTTCCTGCTGCCAGCTTCTCAATCCCCTGCTGTTTGAAGATGTATTCCTTGCCGCTGCCGGATTTGGTAAAGTCAACTCGGGCATCAAAATTGGAGGTGTCAGCCGATGAAAGAGCAGATATCGCATCAATCGATTCCCAAAAGTCGAATGCGATCAGGCAAAGATCAGCACTCTGTTGGGCAGCTCGGGCAGCTCGCTTGGCAAAGCCAAGGGCGTGATTTTTGTCGGGTGTGAAGTAGATACCTTCGCCATGATGCGTGTGCCTTTTACCGTCTTTCAAGCTGGGAATAAATCCGTCTCGGCGGATCTTCTCGCAGTTCTCCAAAGAAGTGCCATGATACAATGTCGGGGCACTTGAAAGGGGGACGCAAGTGAACACGTAAAACACATAAAGCACAAAGCAATGGTATGAAGCCATGCAGGCCATGCCCTTATGATCTTGGAATATCCTGGGCTTCTGCCAGTATTTGAGCCAACAGGAGCAAAAACCGGTCGAAACTTCAAATCCGCATCGTGTTTAAGGACTATATCGTGTTTATTTTTGCATGTCGTTGGTTGAAGCAAAAAAATGCCCATTCGCTCTTTGTGACATATGCAAGTAGATAGCCAATTGTATGATACATCTATTGACATCTATCAAGAACTATCAAGTCACTGGGGGGGTCCTAAAATAGGGGTACCCCCAAATCATCCATTTTAGTAGGATTTTCCATTATAAACCATCCATTTTGGGGTACCCCCATTTATGGAAATCCCCACTAGTATGGAGTGTTTCTAAAACGGTCCGAGCGACGCGATTCTCATCCAGTTGCAGCCGCAGAGGAATCTCGGCCAAACAGCGCGCAAAGGGATGCTGCTCATCCAGCAGCAACGGCATTGGACCGATGCCATGTGAGATGAACCTGGGACACGTCGGGCACGTCGGCTCTGCCCACACAATGCGCACAGGAGGGCACCGGAGTAAGCAGAATTGACAAATATTGGCTAAATTCCTTAAAATTCCTTAAAATTCCTGAAAATTCCTGAAAATTCTTGAAAAATCCTGAAAATTCCTTAAAATTCCTTAAACTTAAACTTCCTTAAAAGTCCTTTAAAAGTCCTTAAAATACAAATCTTGCAGCGAAACATTTCCTGACAGTTGGTTCGTTGCCAAGCCGCAATGTTGGAAGCATCGGCATCTCTGAGCGATCCGTCACGATGCACTCCTAATATCTGATTGTGAAGACGATCTGATCCGATCTGTAGCTACACCGCAAGACGTGTTTCTACTTGAAAGTGACTGCAAGGTCTTCAATGGCCGAGGTACAATTGGATGGAAGGCGTTGTCAAAACATTCCTCCCTTGGAGGCTTTGTCAGCATGTGTCCACAAATGCCGAAGCAGAACACATCAAACAGCGACTTATCGCGACTTATCCTGAAGATGCAATGCAAAGCCCAAAATACTTGAAACGAGTTTCTTAATGAATCTTAATGAATACAATAGAATTGTTTCAAGCAGTCTCATGCTGCATCCCAAGTTGCTGAACCTTAGAGCTGTGGCAAAAAGCGGGCATGATCCGAGGTCGGGAACATCTGGGGACCACGGCCGATCAAATTCTGATATTTCCATGGCATGTGAAAAAAGGGGATCGAATGTCGGAACCAATGGCATGCCAGCACTTCTGATTGACAACAACAAGTGAACATAAATATTAGTAATAGCTAAAAGTATCAAATAATAATAAATAAATATAAATAATACATGATAATCATGGATGGCCAAGTGATGCCAAGTGACTGTGGAGTCATAGGCACTGCGTGACTGCACCTTTTTCTTGCCTCTGCTCCTTGGACCTTCAAGATCCCCGTCTGGTGTGCCCCCTAGGGTCTGGACAGGAATCTTAGCCAGCTGAAATTCTTGGTCCAACCCCAAACAATGCATGGTAAAATTTTCGCACTGAGGTTTCAAGGGGATATTTTTTGGGAGTAAAGCCCGAAAAAAAAATCCAGGTCCAACTGAATGTTCCCTAACTACAATCCAGTGCGCTTAGGTCGCTTTGATACAATGGCTTTTGCAACATGACCTGAGATAAAACTCCAAGAAATTAGGTTATGCTGATCCAGTGGAAACATCGAGGCATTGAGGTTGTTCTAATCAAACATATGAAAAAAAGGATCCCTTGGGTTAAATTCGATGCGTTGAGGTACGCATGACCCTTGTTTACTTTTCACATTTTTCACCCGAGCGATCATGTCCACGAAGAGTTACGGGATCAATTTGGAGCTCCTCGGAGCTCAAACCCTACATCTGTTCTGGCTAAGTTCAAAACAGGGATGGGTGAGATGAAAATCTTGGGGTCTGAGGTTTTGTGGTCTGTCTTGGGACATTGGTTCAGGAAGGGTTGGCGCACATGTGGGGTATAATATGGAGATCTGTTCCGGCAAAGTTCAAAACAGGGATGTGTGAGATGAAAATCTTGGGGTCTGAGGTTTTGTGGTCTGTCTTGGGACATTGGTTCAGGATGGGTTGGCACACATGTGGGGTATAATGTGGCGATCTGCTCCGGCAAAGTTCAAAACAGGGATGTGTGAGATGAAAATCTTAGGGTCTGAGGTTTTGTGGTCTGTCTTGGGACATTGGTTCAAGATGGGTTGGCACACATGTGGGGTATAATATGGAGATCTGTTCCGGCAAAGTTCAAAACAGGGATGTGTGAGATAAAAATCTTGGGGTCTGAGGTTTTGTGGTGTGTCTTGGGACATTGGTTCAGGAAGGGTTGGCACACATGTGGGGTATAATATGGAGATCTGTTCCGGCAAAGTTCAAAACAGGGATGTGTGAGATGAAAATCTTAGGGTCTGAGGTTTTGTGGTCTGTCTTGGGACGTTGGTTCAGGATGGGTTGGCACACATGTGGGGTATAATATGGAGATCTGCTCTGGCAAAGTTCAAAACGGGGATGTGTGAGATGAAAATCTTAGGGTCTGAGGTTTTGTGGTCTGTCTTGGGACGTTGGTTCAGGATGGGTTGGCACACATGTGGGGTATAATATGGAGATCTGCTCTGTCAAAGTTCAAAACAGGGATGTGTGAGATGAAAATCTTAGGGTCTGAGGTTTGTGGTGTGTCTTGGGACATTGGTTCAAGATGGGTTGGCACACATGTGGGGTATAATATGGAGATCTGTTCCGGCAAAAGTTCAAAACAGGGATGTGTGAGATGAAAATCTTGGGGTCTGAGGTTTTGTGGTGTGTCTTGGGACATTGGTTCAGGATGGGTTGGCACACATGTGGGGTATAATATGGAGATCTGTTCCGGCAAAGTTCAAAACAGGGATGTGTGAGATGAAAATCTTGGGGTCTGAGGTTTTGTGGTCTGTCTTGGGACATTGGTTCAGGATGGGTTGGCACACATGTGGGGTATAATATGGAGATCTGCTCCGGCAAAGTTCAAAACAGGGATGTGTGAGATGAAAATCTTGGGGTCTGAGGTTTTGTGGTGTGTCTTGGGACATTGGTTCAGGATGGGTTGCCACACATGTGGGGTATAATATGGAGATGAGATCTGTTCCGGCAAAGTTCAAAACAGGGATTTGTGAGATGAAAATCTTGGGGTCTGAGGTTTTGTGGTGTGTCTTGGGACATTGGTTCAGGATGGGTTGCCACACATGTGGGGTATAATGTGGAGATCTGTTCCGGCAAAGTTCAAAACAGGGATGTGTGAGATGAAAATCTTGGGGTCTGAGGTTTTGTGGTCTGTCTTGGGACATTGGTTCAGGATGGGTTGTCACACATGTGGGGTATAATATGGAGATCTGTTCCGGCAAAGTTCAAAACAGGGATGTGTGAGATGAAAATCTTGGGGTCTGAGGTTTTGTGGTGTGTCTTGGGACATTGGTCCAAGGTTGGCACACATGTGGGGTATAATATGGAGAGCTGCTCCGGCAAAGTTCAAAACAGGGATGTGTGAGATGAAAATCTTGGGGTCTGAGGTTTTGTGGTCTGTGTTGGGACATTGGTTCAGGAAGGGTTGACTCACATGTGTGGTGTAACATGGAGAGCTGGTCCGGAAAAGTTAAAAACAGGGATCTGTGAGATGAAAATCTTAGGGTCTGAGGTTTTGTGGTGTGTCTTGGGACATTGGTTACCCATTGGCAATGGTTCTGGCGCAAAACATATCTGGATAAAGTTCAAGTTGCCAAAGTCCTGTTTATTCTTTTTCAGTCTCCAACAAACTCTGGTCCGAGAAACTCCACACTTTTCTTTGGTTTCAACCCCAGTGTCGCTGAATATTTTTCCATGGGACAAACCCCCTGAACTTTGAAAATGCCAAAGTTGGGGCTGAATAAATGTCCTAGAGGGATAATATTTTCGGGCACAGGGTCAGGAAAAAATCCTGCCAGCACAAACCCGGTTTTTCATGTTCGTAGATTTCATGGCCTTGGCCCCCAGGGAAATGAAAAGATTTCTTGGGAATAAAATTCATAGTGCTAGGGTATTTAAGTGAATATAGAATCTTTGGACAAGTGCCCGTAGATAAAATTCATAGACACCAGGTAAGTGAATATAGAATCTTTGAGGCAAGTGCTGGTAGATAAAATTCATGGAGACTAGGTAAGTGAATATAGAATCTTTGGAGCAAGTGCTGGTGGATAAAATTCATAGAGGCCAGGTAAGTGAATATACGATGTTTTGAAAGGGGGTTTTGGATAAAATTCCCGTGGTGAGGTTGGAGCGCCATTGGTATAACTGATAGGGCCTAGTGGCCCTGGATATTTTTTGGGCCAGACCCCCCGAATCCTATCCAGGGACGCCCAACGTGGGTCTTCAAGATCCTCCTCCTGAGCCAAGTTTGCGAACTTTCACTCACCTTCACAGCTGCAGAAAGCATAGGTCACGCCTGCAGATACAAACCAGCGCAGCCACCGAACATGTTGGCCAGCGCGGGGTTCATCTTCTTGGCATGTGCCTGGCGCATGCTGCCAGCTGCCAACTGCTGCCAGCTGCCAACTGCTGCCAGCTGCCATGTACTGGCCATGTACTGGCAGATATGGCAGATATATGTGCGACGTCGGGACTCGGGACCATTCGGGACCAACACCGGATCGGCCTCCTTGAGGGTTGGAGAGCCACAGACGAGTTCGAACCTTTGCAATTTGACGGTGTCTTGGTGGGGAAATCATGGGAGATGTGAGGAAGAGTAGAGGGAAACCATGGGACACCTTTACCATTTCGACATATTTCGACATACCCAAACTGTGGAGCCCCTCAAGCTTGTCTCCTTCAAAGCATCCCCCAGCTTTCTGCTGGTAAAACTACTCAGAAAGGAGAAGCTTCTCAGGCTCTGCTCCATTGGCTCCATTGCGTGGGAAGTTGGAATAGGATATATGGTATGAACATATAATATATATAATTATGATCCATATAATACATTGATAATCATTGATATAAATTGTATCTACATGTATATATCTACTATACTGTAAATATACTGTACTAGATTACAAATGTATTCCGCCTGAACTGAGTAGACCCGCATCGACCATCACCAGAAGCATTACCTACTTGCTGCTGAAACTTAGACCAGCTGAGCCGCATATCCGGTGAATCTGCCACATGTGGAGCACCGCCGAGGTCTCTCTTGCCTCAGCACATGAACTATACCTGAAGTATAGCCTGACTTATCCTGGCGTAGCCTGGCAGTGCTGTGCCCTTTGATGCCCTTTGATTCGGTGAGGTACGTCGGACTGCTCCAAGTCCTCCATCATCTGCTTGGAGGCTTAGCCCAGCGTGTCCATCAAACATCTGCTTTTGGAAACCTCCAAAAGTCACAGGGGTCACATGAGTCACTCAGCGCAAAATGGGCAGAAGATGGCAGAAGGCTTCTTTTGCCAACGAGTGCATAGTGGCATGCAGGTGTTTGTATGATTTTGTATGAAGTTCCTGCCAAATCAGGCTGTATTGAATTATGCATTGACTTCACAGATGGGGTGCTCCCCAACTGAGATCAACACAATATTTCTCTGCATGATTCTGACGATATTCCTGGGCAAATGAGGTCAACAAGTAGAGATGGCAATTCTGGATTCTAGATCTGCAAATAGTTCCAGCGTCTGGAGGACTTGAGAGCAACAAAGCGTCGTCCATCTTCTCGCTTCCACACAAAATTCCAGTAAGTGGCGTGTCCTGGCATCTCAATGCATCAAGCAGCCGTTTGTCTGTAGTTTGGAAGCTCCGAGGTGTCAAGGGCAATTTATGATGCGCGCATCATTTAGGTGCTCAATGGTGCTCAAGCTCTATCAACAGAATCTGCTAACAGAAATTTCTCCCGTAAATGCAACACTCCTGCACATGTGGAGCTCCCAAGAAGTTCCTTGGCTAACAAGAAAGCTTCGAGTGTTTCTCTACACGACATTTTTTTGACCTTGCCGGTGATGTTTTTTGGTATTGTTTCTGTAGGATTAGGAGACTTGGATCGTAGTTTAACGAATACTATGAATACAATATGAATACATTGCACATTTGGTGCATTGAAATTTAGGCTTTGGCTTTGCGGAAAATTGAGCATCAGCCATCGTCACCCAAAACCAGGGCGAGTTGCCGTTTCGATCGCGACCGAGGGCCGCGGTCGTCATCTTCTTGCAAGCTGCGTCCTGCAAGGCCTTGCAAGATGGAGATATGATGGAGACTTTGACGCAAAATGAAGCAGATGAAAATGGCAGCAGCGAAATCAAAATCAAAAAAACAAACAACTGATCCAACATATGTCGTGATATCTCGCGCCTTTCAACATACCAGAAAGATCTCCTTGTTTCACCTCGTGAAGATCCTGCGAATAAACAGCTTCGAAGGGTGATCAACAAATAGTCATCTGATGTCATCTTACACCAACATGAAGCAGGGATCCTACCAAGCTGACCTTTTTTCAGGCAATGCGTGTCCGCGTCATGAGCAAATGGCAGCGCATGCTGGAATTTAGGGAAAAGATCCGTAAGCTGCATTCTAAAACTATCTAAAACTACATAAAACTGCCCTCTGCATCCCTCTGCATCTCTATGCTGTCAGCTTTCTCCAGGTCTTATCCTTGTGCTCGGTGAGTTTGTTGCTTCCGCAAATCAATTTCTCAAGTTCATGGGTGTCTTGCACCTTATCCCGATGTCGGTTGTAGCTTCGGTATGATAAATCTCTCAAGGTGGAAACCGAAAGAAAAATTGCAAACGAATTCAACCTCAAGCAAACCCTTGTTCTTGAAGTGCCCTGAAGACTCTAGAAACACACTGAATTAGTTTTGGCAACGAAATCGAGTAACTGCTTCCCCGCCAATGGTTTCAATTGTATCGTTCCAAGATTCCAGGTCCCTTTCCATGGTCCCATTTCTCTTCCCTCGTTCTGTCAATGATAATGCAAGCCGCGGAACATGTGGAGCCCCGAAAAAGTGCCGCGTGCCAGTCACTTTGGCCCCAGCCACATCGGCAAGCTGATCTGAGAAACCTCAAGGAGGAGCAGAAAATAACAGGAATCAAGTTTAACTGAAAGATATTGAAACTGAGCAGCTAGTGAATCAAAAATGAAAGAGTATCATAGTAAAGTATAGACTCGTTTAGGGGCTTGATATGTCTTGATATGTCTTGATATGTCTTGATATGTCTTGATATGTCTTGATATGTCTTGATATGTCTTGATATGTCTTGATATGTCTTGATATGTCTTGATATGTCTTGATATGTCTTGATGTATGACCTAAATGCATTGATGATGTGCAACGGTCGGCAGAGCTGAATTCCAGGCCCAGAGACCAGCATAGCCATTGAAAATGGCACCCATTTGAGGGTTCTCCTCAAGCAGAGATTCACAGAGTTGGTTTTTGCTCAGTCTGCTTGGTGCATCCGCACTAGGTCAGGTGAATCTTTGGGACACTGCCGACACTGCCCATTGCACAACTGTTGAACATTGGCAAACGACCTACAGGTCCCTATCAAAACATATCAAAACCAACGCAGTAGGCCAGTAGGCTGGCATTTTTTTCGAGCCTTCTCCACTTCGTTCCAGAACTCTGCCAAATGCTCGCTTCCACAAACCATCTTTGCCATTCCCTTGGAAGGACGGTTGGCTTCACGAAAAGCTTGGGGAATAAATTGACTAAACGTGACTAAACGATCAACATCGATCATCATCGATCAACTAGGACAGGACAAATCCGTGACTAACCGCTGCCAAGCTTCTGGGGTGTCAGCCTCAGGACCAAAATCACCAGAAAAATGCCGTACTTGTTGCAGTGTTGGGAACTATGCATGGGGGATATCTTGAAGAAAATAGAAAACCTGGTTGAAATCAATGCAAATCAATGCAAATCATTGTGTAGCAAGCAAATATGTTTACATTTCACTGCATAGTGTGGGACCTCCTTCATGGATAATCATGGATATGTGGTGCCCAGTTTGCTCTGAGGCTTCAACTGTATGAGGGGCTCCAATGAAGCAGCGCTTGCCTCGCGGCTGCTGCTGCTTCACCCGCTGGCCGGCCTGCAGCTGTAGCCAGGTACGGCCAGGTACGGTCCATTGAGTAAAGATCACCAAAGATCATGAATCAATGGATTGGTTTAAGGGAAAATTTACAGGAAACCATAGATTTTCCCATTAAATATGGGGCTTTCCTGTAAATTTTCCCTTAATCCAATCCATTGAATGAAAGATCTCTGTTTCACATTGTTTAACCAAGTCACAAAGCCACCCTGTTCCCACATCCTCAGACTTGGAGCCAGACTTGTCTCAAAGACTTTGGAGAGGAGATAACAAATGCAGAAGGGCAAACTGATATATATATATATATATTATAAATATTATAAGATATTATAAGATATTTTATGTCTTGAATCTTGGGGTTCACTTTTCCCACTGCAAAATCATCTTGAACTCTGAAGGAACATGTACTCACAAGAGTGGCAGCGAACTCTGCCCCAAGACACAATTTGCTTAGATAAAATTCCTTTGCTCGAGACAAGGCACGACTGGTCGCGGAGATTCTTGTGCACGATGTGTCTTGTGCTCCTGGTTGTGTCCTCCTGTATGAAGCCGAATACCACAAAATGCCACAAGCACCCGGAGGATCCTGGAGGCAAATCACATTAGATATAACATAATATAATAGCTTTGCAGCTTTGAGCTGATCAAGTTCACCTACTGGGAGCTGCAAGTTGGTCCCTGTTGAGCTCTATCGATTTACATCGATTTGCCAGATTTGCATGGATTTGTATCATTTTGTATCGCTTTCACGCTGGCAACATCCAACTTCTCAATGCGCCTCACCTGTGTCAAGTGCTCGGCAAAGCGGGGGCCCTGGGAAAAACTGGGCGTAGAGCTCTGGAAGGTTACCTGACTGTGACTCCAAAGGCTCAGAGATGCTGAGAGTATCTCTCTCTGAGTGGTTTCAAAAATTGTCGAGCCATGTCGAGCCATGTGCACAACACCTTGTCGCGAAGATTGACAACAGCGTGTTGTCAACATCAATGGATTGCTTTAAGGGAAAATTTACAGGAAACCATGGATTTTCCCATTAAATATGGGGCCATATGGGGCTTAAACCAGTAAATGTTCCCTTAATCCAATCCATTGACAGCCAATTTTCACACAGCGGCAGGATGACCGTGCCATGGTTTCCAGCATCACCGGAAACATGGCTTTCAAACAGAGGGACGTTCTCGTTTGAGAACCCAAGGCTGCCACTCTTTGCTTGGGATGAAACAAAAATTAACAGCAGAAATGTATAGAAATTGATTGATTGATTCAGCATATTCAGGGAATTTCTACAATCCGTGCAACAATTTGTTGCCGACTCTGAAGCTTCAAATCCACTAATTAAGCTATGGAGGCCTCAGAAACGTCAGAAGCTTTCAAATCTCTCACCATCTCTCACCATTGGATCCATTCTTTGGGTCCTTCCGCTTCATCATCGCTGTCCACGAAGTTACGCGGCGCACCTTCAGGCTCCTCGCCCGTGGGTGCAGCGTCAGAAATGGTCACGTCGATGGAAGGACGGTGAATGGGACAAACACTCACCTGGTTGAAAGATTTTCCCCAATCCTCCAATGACATAAAGGCTTTTCCATCATTGCCTCCTGCCCTCTTCTTCTGCAGCCGTTCTTGAAGCTGAGGATTTTGGTTCCAAAGCTCGGATGAATCTCCCCAGTCTCCTGTCCACTCTTTGAAGCCCCAAGGGTTTCTGACTTGCATAAGCCGAATGGGTGTGCCATCATCAAGCACCTCCTCAAGGACTTCCAGTAAGGAATAGGCGTGCCACACCACAATGCCTTTGGCCTTGGCCTCAGCGTTGGCACCCTCCATGGAGCAGGTCATCAAGTGATCTTTGGTGCCCAGGGCATGGATCTCGTCGAAGAGTTCATTGAGGTCCTGAGAACTGTCTTGGACAACGTCGAAAACCAAGTAATTGATCTTCCTCCCTCGAGCATTCTCAGTCTTGCCATGGGCCCAATCTTCTTTCAAGACTTTCTTCTTCCACCTCTGGTCTCTCATGAACCAGTGCACATAGCTTTTGAAGCCCGTCATGGCCTGCAAGGCAAACCAAGAATCACCTCCTGCAAGTTTGCCCCAGGAATAGCAAAACTTGGCAAATGCCTTCTCGAGCAAAACTGCCCATAGTTCTTCACCCAAGGGCTTAGCAAAGAGAGGGGCGGGCTTTCCATTTTGCAGCCTGCAAGGAAGAAATTCATCGATCACCATCGAAGTCCATTCGTGAGCTCCAGCGTCGTACAGCGAAATGCTGTACTTGCCATCTTCAGTCACATGCTTGGTATTGAAGAGTTTCTTGATCAACTCAGGGTGGCTGGCCACCGCTGCGATCGAAGCCATCAACCAGCAATCTCCCACCTGACCTTGCTTCACATCTTGAGGTCGTATCTGATCGAAGAGCACGGATTCAGATGGATCTCCAAGCATGCGAGCCCTCACCCAAACATCTGCAGGAATTTCTGATGTATGCCCATTGATGCTCCTGCTATCGTGCGGGAACTCTGGATCCTCAAAGGCATTGGGATCGTCTTGAACTCCAGTATATTCAGAGCGGCATGCGAGTTCATAAGCATAGTGGTATGGCTCACCAGTCACTGTAAGCAACTTCAGAGTCTTCTGTTCACCAGGCTCCAAGGCAACACACACCGTCTTGCCTTCGGAAAACTCAATATTTTTGCAACTAGTAAATTCAAAGTAGAACTTCTTCTTCACCTTTGTATTGGTATTAGTGATGGTGGCCGAAACACTCCCTTGGCCATCAGTCACATCTTCCGAAAGAGAGCACTTGGGATCTTTCCGTGTGAGCCACGAAATGAACTCATGGACTTGGATGGTACCATCCTTGTTCTTGTCTGCCTGCTTGAACACGAAGCTTGAGCCCTTAATTCCCAATTGCTCAAAGACCTGGGTCATCTCTTCCTCTGAAAGTGTTCCATCACCATTCACATCATACGCCTCGAAGATTTTCTGCAATCGCTGCGTAGGGTTCATTGCCGCCGCCATCTCTACACCGGGGTTCTGTGATGATCGACTTCTATTTCTCTGCTACAGTATGCGTCCCGGAGCCGAAAGCTGCGAAACAAATCAATTATCTTTTTTGGACTGCAGTGGCGGTCTCCTGATTCTTTTTGGATTTTTTGAAATTATGCTTCAGAAAGTTTCTTGTAAGTGTAATGTCTGAAACTGTATAACATCGGCAATCTTGAGAATAGAGTTCGGTGTGAAGAAATAACATTTCTTTAATGGTTGCATCCGTCTCTCTGCGTTTGCCAGCATCCCAGCCTGAGAGCCGTTGTATCTGACTCTGCTGCACACTCCAAGACTATGCGATACTATGCGACTATATTTTGGAAAGCTGATGTTTGGTGTTCGGTTGAAGTACTCTAAAACATTCCTCTTAACCATCTGAATCTTCCCAAAACAGGTTTCCTTTGAAGGCGAGGTGCCACAGCTTTGCTACGTCCACCGCTTAGGTCCCGCTCTATAGCACGCGCAGCAGAATGCGAAAGGTCATCTGTAAACCAAACGTAGTCTGCACCATTTCCTTCAGGCTCCATGCAGATCAGGAGTTTTCGAGTTTGCGATAATGTGAGGCCCTACATGACCCCACCTGTCATTTCGGAACCCATCGTAAGTCCCACAAGAGATTGTGAACATGAGAAGCATTGGGTCACAGTGTGAATGGTCATCTTAGTCATCTTGATAAATTTCATGTCATCCCACAACATCAACAATATCAACGTCTGTACACAATTCCTGCCAGGGTTCGTTGGCGCGGGGTGGAGTCGTAGTGCATGGGAGACTTTGTCGCCACCTTGAGCTCGAAGACTTGAGAAGACAAAACAGGGGAAATACGAAAATACCGAATAGGAAAACCATGGAAAATCCGTGGAAAATCAATGAAAACCCAAGGGTGAAATCAGTGGAACCTCAAGATGTCTAGGAAAACCTTTGTTGTAAATTACACTAGTACGAGCAATTACTTGGAAAGATCCTTATTCTTGTGGGCCTGCATATCACGCAGAATCCCCGAACCGGTGAAACAAAATGCCAAGTAGCAGGAGACGCAGCTGCTGAGGGCGTCCGATCCCTGCAGGAAAGCCACACAACGCTGACAAATGCTCTATATAATACATTATGTAGCATTATGTAGCATCATATAGAGCCGATGTATAGAATCGATGTAGGGTCCATACAGTAGATGTCTATAGTCTATAGACTTCCAGGATCACAAGATCACCAAAGCTGAAGAGTGCATACTTCTCCGACCTGGTTGAAGGTGTAGTTGATCTATTTCCTAGGCTTGCAAAGAAAACCAAACCAAATTGTCTCAAGAACTCAGAAAAAAAGACCCCGAGACTTGGCATCAAGATCATCAAGGTATAATCAGGTATCCGCCGCCCTTGCCTACAACAGGGGGAGCGCGTCAGAGAAGCAATTGCAAGGCCAACGCTTTCGAGGCCCGGCTGCTCCGAGTCGGCCGGGCCGCCTCGTCCTTCAGCAGCATGAAGATTTCGCGTTTCGAAGCTAGAGTTCCTCCATGCTAGTTTTGGTTTTCTTCTTGGCGTTCCAGAAAGCAACGTTAGGCACTGGCAGCCCCAGCCGGACGGGCCCTCGTCCTTCAGCAGCTTGGGGATTTGCCGGTTCGAAGCCTGTGTTTCCCCATCCCCGCCGTAGATTTGGCTTTCTTCTTGGCATTCCAGAAAGCCACGTTAAGCACTGGGAACCTGAGCCGGCCGGGCTATCTCGTCCTTCAGCAGCATGGGATTCGCCAGTCCATTTTGGAGCTCATTTTAATGGTGGAAGCTGCGTTCTGGAGAGGAGTTTCTTGTCGGCTCAGAAAGCGACATTAGGCAGCCCTTGCAGCGCACCACCTCGGTCCCTGAGCAGCACGCTGCATTGCTGTTTCACCAGCGCTCGCTAAGGGCGCCATTGCGGCGCCTTCTGAACGTCTTTGTTGGTGACTCAGACAGCAACGTTGTTGAGGTTCCTACTCAGGTTCGGCAATCGTTGCAAAAAGTTCTGGAAGGGTTAAACGAGAAAGCCTGCCAAAATG